AAGTTCAATTCAGATCAGTTTGCTTTGTAAGAAGTAGAATATACGTGAATGTTTACCTTATTTCTAGCAGAATATATTGATTCAAATCTTTTCATTTCTTCAGCAAATAAATTTTGCATTTCTTTTACAAGCAGGCAATATAGGAAATAAATAAGAGAATGACAGTAATGCCTAAGATTTTTCTATACTTGCATTTTTTGCAAAGAAGAACTGTCAGCGGCCTTTTGCCTACAAGCTTTTGTGCAGCTCAGCAGCTTCGTAGCAGATGTAAAAGATAACTGATGCTGGGCCATACCCAGAACCCATAAAGGTGGCAAGCTATGGCTCTTCCTTCCTCTAAAAAATTACAAAATCTCAGATTTCAGTCAGTTGCCCTGGATCTGTGTGACCGAGCACATCTGGACCAAAGGGGAAACCTCTTTACTAACAGGAAAATAAACGTGTTGAATGAACATCAGGATGACAAGCAGTGAAGACTAAGGATACTCTGCAGTCTACAGACAAGTCCCCCCTGCCCTGGATGGGACAGCTAGCTGTGGAATCTCAGGTGGTCAACAGCAGAGACCTGGCCGCACCTTTTCCTGATGTGGGCGTTTTCTTCCAGCATCTTCAACATTTAGTTTACATCATTATTCATCAGTGACGTTGCTGTTGTGGCTGCTGTTGGCTGCTGTCATTATCAATAACTTTGGTTACTGAGTAATACTGATGGGCCCTGTATTAAGGATGTCACATCTGTTACCATATTTATTCCCTCATCACACAGTGAACAAACTCCCTACTGACAAGGAGGAGGCAGTGAGCTGAACACCTCTGAATGAATACCGAGCCTTCCATTTTCCTGCATGGCCAGACCCTCAGGATACCTCATCTGAACAACTTAATACTCTCCTAAATGCCCTTTCTCCTCCAGTCTTCCCCCTGCAATAAATTCTCCCTGCAGCTCTCAGAAGATCTTTCTAAAATGCAAACCTAGCCAGTTTTTTCTTGTTTAATTCCCATATCTCTTCTCTTCCCCTAGGATAGTGTTCTCTCACATAAGCAAGACCATGGGGCCCTTCAGACCGGCCCCCATCTTGCCTTTCCCACTGCACCCCTTCCCAACACTGGCCAGGTCTTCAGTTACAGAGACCTTCCAACCACTCCCAACAGGCCCTTCTCTTTAGTACTTCACAGCTGAAGCCTAATGTTCTGCTTGCGTGTTGTGTTGGTTTCCTTGGACTACTATAACAAAGTGCCACAAATTCGAGGTTAGGAGTCCAAAATCAGAGTATCAGCCATGTTAGTTTCTTCTGAGTGATGACTGATGATCCTTGGCATTCGTTAGCTCATAGATTGTGCCAGTCTCTGCCACCATCTTCACATGGCCGTCTTCCCTCTGTGTCTCCTTTCCTTTTATTGGAGAAGGACCAGTACGGGATTAGGACCCAACCTACTCCAATATGACCTCATGTTAACTGATAACATCTTCAAAGACGCTATTTCCAAACAAGGTCATGTTCACAGGTACCAGAGATTAGGACTTCAACATAAACTTTTGTGGGGAAACAGTTCAATCTATAGCATGTATCAGTCCCTTTCTTCCTTCATCCATCCTCCTGACAAACTCCTAATTCATGACCCTGCTTGAAAGATTGGCCTTCACAAAGTCATCCTTGACCCTTGGCAGAATCAGTCACTTCCTCCTTTGCATTCCTGCAAGGATCTGTTCATACCTCTGTGTAGAGCAGCTACTTTGTTATGCAATAACTGTCTCTAGAGAGCTGTGAAGACACAAGCCACCTGTGGCCACGGGGCACTTGAAATGTAGCTAAGTCCAAATTGAGATGAGCTGTAAATATAAACACGCACCAGATTTCAAAGACTTAGTGTGAAAAGAATGTAAAATATTTTAGTAATATTTTTTACATTGATTGCATGTTGAAATGTTAATATTTTAGAAATATTGAGTTAAATAAAATACATTATTAAAATTAATTTCACCTGTTTTTTCTTTTTATATGTGACTATTAGAAAATGTCAAATGCTGTATGTGAATGGCTTGTATTGTTTTTCAGCAAGCCTAGTTAGATTCTTTCCTTAGGAGAGAAGGGTCCCCTCATCTCTGTATTTTTAGGACCTGGCAGTCTGTGTATGGGTGACCACATGCCCGAAGGAAATAACGATGAGTTTACTGGGTCACCAGTTCAGATTATCGTGTGCTCCTACTGCAAGTCCTGTGGCGCTCATGTGACCCCTCACCTACAGTATGTTTGTATTTGGAGGAGGGGGGAGGACTTAGTGTTCTGGAGCTGTCTCCACCAACCTAGAGGCAGAGGACATAAAGTACATCTCATCCCCTGTTGAGTAGATACCTGGAGCAACTGGGACTCCCTTTGCCTCAGGCATTCAACGAATTTCCATGTAATTGATTTTATTTTTTGTTGTTGTTGAGAATACACGCAGTAGAACGTACACCATCTCAGTGATTTCTACGTGTACAATTCAGTGACATTGATTACATTCTTCAAGTTGTGTGACCATTCTCATCCCCCTTTTGTTCACTGACGTTTGCGCTAGCTTTACGTGGTTGTTAGTTGCCATCAAGTCAGCTCCAGCTCACAGCAACCTTACGTGTAACAGAACAAACCGTTGCCTGGTCCTGCACCATCTTCATGATCATTGGTATGTTTGAGTCCATTGTTTTGGCCACTGTGTCAGTCCATCTCACTGAGGGCCTCCCTCGCCTCCGCTGACCCTCCACTTTACCAACCGTGATGTCCTTTTCTAGCAATTGGTCTTTCCTGATGATGTGTTCAAAGTAAGCGAGCCAAAGTCTCACCATCCTGCTTCTAAGGAGCATTCTGGTTGTATTTCTTCGAAGACTGATTTGTTCATTCTCTGGCGGTCCATGGTATATTCTGTATTCTTCATCTACACCACAACTTGAATGCATCAGTTCTTCTTTCTTTTTCATCGTCCAAATTTCACATGTATATGAGACGATTGAAAAGACCATGGCTTGGGTCAGGCTCACCTTAGTTATCAAAGTGGCATCTAGCTTTATAATTTTAACTAAATCAACCAAACTGAGAACAGGAACGCTCCCTACATGCTGTGTAGCTGTCATCAGTGTGAATCCATGGGGGAATGGAGATAAGTCTGTGAACTGGACAGTGAAGATGTCTGCATTTCCTGGGGTGCCTGCTGACTGCTTCCTTTGTTAAGATTTACATTATTTATTGTCACTTCCCTCCTGAGCCTGTGCTAAATGAGGTGTCTCCATGTTGGGTTGCAGGAGATTTAGCTGAGAAAATAAAAGAATTGAAAATCTCCTCAAGAGGATTGGGGCTAGGCTAATTTTCCTGCACACCTGACCAGGGGTAACTTTGATTTTTCATTCTCTTTTCATGCATCTTTTAGAAGAAAACAGATGACTTCCTAGTTAATCAAATTTTTAAAATTGTCTAAAAGGAAATTCCTAAGCCTGGAGCAAATCATTTAACAAATCTGGTTCATACTTATCTGCTGCTGCTTTTTAAATGGAAGAAGAGAAAGTTCTTCAAGTACACTTGAAAAGTAGTTTTTGTAAATTAGAAAAGTTCTTGGTAAACCAGTAATGAGCGAAAATAGGAACTCAAGATTCAGAACTAGGAGGTCTGGATTCTTTTTCTGGCTTCTCCTCAAGCAAGCTTTGGGACTGGTCTGATTATGTCTAAAGAACTTCCAGTGTTTATGCATTTCAGGTGTGATGGAAGCAACTAAATATTTTTGTATGAGGGTAGCAGAAGTCTTCGTGTTCCAGTTTGTACCTCAGGTCATCTAAAGGTCTGAGGGTGACACAGGCAGTGTAATGGCAGGATATAGTGTAAGCCCAACCTGCCAGACACCTTATGGTCCAGACCAGTGACCGTGAACCTGAGTTATGGCATCCTACGTGTGTCTCAGAGTCTGAAAAGGAACTTATGTGTTTCTCCAAATGAATTCCATTTGAGTTCCTTTTGAGCCCGAAAGACATACGCTGTATGGCAGATGGAGAAAGGGAGGGCACAGTATGTTCAAAAATTTGTTGTTGTTAATTGCCATTGAGTCGGCACTGACTTACGGTGACCTTGTGTATAACAGAATGAAACATTGCCCAGTCTTGCACCATCCCTACAATTTTAGCCCATTGTTATAGCTGTTGTGTCAATCCATCTTGTGGAGGTTTCCCTCGTTTTTGCTGAACTTCTACCAAGCATGGAGCCCTGGTGGCACAGTTAGTAAAGAGCTTGGCTGCTAACCAAAAGGTTGGCAATCCAAATCCACCAGCCGTTCCTTGGAAACCCTACGGCGCAGTTCTACTCTGTCCTATAGGGTTGCTATGAGTCGGAATCAACTCCATGGCAACGGGTTTGGTTTTTTGGGTTCTACCAAACGTGATGTCCTTTTCTAGCAAGTCCAAAAATCAACTAGTAGCTAATCCTTGAACTTGAATTGTGAAGCAATATACTTGATTGAAAATTTTGGGGCCAGTTTTTTCTTATGATATGTAATCTATAATATTTATTGATAACTAGGCTATAGGGTCTGTATGAGTCAGAATCAACTCAACAGCAACAGGTTTTGGTTTAGGCTGTATATTCTTTCACTAGACTCTCGGCAAGCTCTTTAGTTTATGGCACTTAATCAATACATATTTGTTAAAATATTCCCAGCATTTCTTTAAACTGGTTCCAGTTCTCCTCCAAGCCCTACATGACAAGTGTCCCTCCCCCTGACTGATGGCACTGTCCCCAGCTCCAAGGAATGATTCACTGGCATTCAGTTTGGTAGTAGAAAGCTAAAAATCATCTCACAAGGTCTTGGGTTTACTGGTCTTAGGTGACAGCTTAGATCTTGGCCTTCTGCCTTTGAACCATCCGCACTGCACGCTAGAGTCAGTCCCTGGACCTTTGTCTTTATTTGTAATGCAACATTTTTAAGAAATACCACACTCAGTGAATAAATGGAAAATTAACTCCTTACTCTCTTCTTAACAGACAAGAGACGACTTCCTGGGACAGGTGGACGTGCCCCTGAGTCATCTTCCGGTAAGGATGGGTACCATGAGGAGCAATTTATGATTGTCTGCACTGGGGTGTGTTTTTAGACTGGTGTTTCTTCCAACAGAATGGGGAGGACTGCAATGAAGAGAGTGTGATTTAACCATAGTTCCTGTGGGCCTTTCACAGGGGTAATGACTAGTTTAGTGGTGAAACTCAAGTTGAGTGTATCTGAATCGGCTTAGCCTTCCTGTCAACATCACCAGCTCCTTTCTCTTCTCCTATCTACCTTTTATGTCACACCTTACAAAACAGCCATCTCTTCTAGCAGACCCCTCCTTCTTGTCACTGTCACATCTTTGCTTCTAAATTCATCCTTTGGGTCTAATCAGACATTTGTTCCCTTTGTCTACAAGTGTACATGCTGTTCTCTTGGGAGATAACTGTACATACAAGCTAGATTTGGGGTTATAGCTTCTTAGTTGGCATAAGAACAAAAGACAGTCTTCATGCTGAGTGAACTTGTCAGCTGGAGGCAGCCACCCTAGCTTCAGAAAATGTCCTGCATTAGCATGTGTGAGGTTGCTACCATTTCTCTCTGCTCAGATGAGCAGCAAAACAGTTGGGGCTGTTGACTAGTAACTGCATGCTCCATAGGCAACTTAGAAGGTGCAGACAACACCTGGAGGCCTTGGTGAAAGGTGGATCATCTCATATTCCAGCTTCAGTTTTCCAGATTGTCCCATCCCCTCCTCCTGGCCCTTCTTCCCTGGGCAGCACAAAGTAATGTAAGTCAAGTAGCTGCTAAGAGACTATACATCAAATGTTTCTACCTTACAAGGGCATTTTGTAATTTTTTTTTAATGCTCCATGTGAACGAGTGGCGTAAATAGCCCATAAACTACAATGACTTAAACCACTTAGTGTATGCCTAGTTCTGCATTGAAATCATGGCTGTTACCATATATATGTTAAATGCCAAGAAAAACCATATATTAAACAAGCTTTGAAGATATGTTATGAAGGAATCTGATTGCAAGCAGTTTCCTCATGTTTACTCAGGGGAGCTATTAAGAAAGAAAGGTTTCAAGTGAGTTTCCTTTCAAACGATTTGAAGCTAAAATAATATTAAAGTATTTTTGTTTGTTTCTATATAAAAACCTGAAGCTCCAAGGTGGGTGCCTGAGGTGACATGTGGTGCTTCTTTATGAGTCTGATTCCATAAGCCATGAGAAACCTGATTGTTCTTTGAAAGTCACATTGAGAGGACATGGCTATCTCAACATTTGCAAAGAAAGACTTCCCATATTTCCATATCAGTAATTCTTCTGTATATGCCCTTCATTCTGAAGCTGACATATGAAGCGGTAATCTCCGTATAATTTTAGAAATCTTTTTGTGGGTGTACCCCCCCCCCCCCGCTTTTCTGTAACATAAAAACCACATCCTAGCCAAGGCAAATTATTTACTAATATTCTGTAAGAGGCATAAGTGAAATTTTAAACAATTTGCACCAATAAGCCCCTGTTTGAGTGATTGAGTAGAGATTGGTTTTGGAAGGTTGGACAGGGTTCCCAGAAAGTAAAAGAATGTTCTAGTTCAGAGACCAGGTTAGTAGAGGGAGTAACTTAGCCTTGGATTTTGGATAGAGACAAGGGTAAGCTTTCAAAGGAAGTGGTGCCAGGACTCGAGGCTAGAATAGAAACCACCAGATTAAAGAGGGTGGAACATGAACGTCTAGAGAGGACTGAGTACTTTTACGTGAGCTGAGCCAACTGAGGAATAGAGCCTCCCAATTTTGCATATGCCCAAAGATTCCCTTCCAGGGAATGCCACAGTGTCCGTACTGAAAATTGACTGGCCTTTTGGAGCCGACTGTAGTCAGTAAGGTAGACCACAAAGGAAGGAAAAGGAGAGGAATGAAGATGCATCTTTTATCTTCCATGTGGTGAAAGAACCCAACCAGCATCTTCTGAATGGGCAAGGCCCTGGAGCCTAGGATAGGAGGTGCTCTCATGTACATTTGATCATAGGTGTGGGATCCTCTTAGAAAAAAATTACACAGTGAAGCAAGTCTTTCCCTCACATTACTTAGCAGCACTATCCTGTACAGCGGACACATGTGACAGTTGAGCACTTGAAATATGGCTATGTGACTAAGGAACTGCATTTTTAATTTAATTTAATTTAAATTTAAAAAGCTACATGTGGCAAGTGGCTGCCATGTTGGACAGTACACGTGAGGATCAGACCAGAGTTCCCTTTCTTAGATCAAAAATGTGTGATTCTGGATTCCCTTTTCCTCAGCTAATTCTTCTGGGTGTGGGGGTGGCATGCAGGGGAATAAATTCCCAAACCTACTAGCTTTACTTTGTTGATTTTTCATTCAAGGTTTTTTTTCCTTTTCTAAGGATGTTTCTCTCTAGTTCTACGTACCTAATATACCAAGAATATTTAATGTAGTTAGGAAAAGGATCCAAAATTTGGAATCATAGGAATTAAGTTGAAGTAATTTTTTATAATCATTTTTAAAATTTGTATTAGCAAGCTACTTAGTTTATCCATCTGACTTGATTCTGTCCTACAAAGATCACCACACTGAATGAAACTCTCCTTCCTTTCTAAGTCATTTTTTGGTCTGGTCCTTATTCCAAAAGAGAAATAAACTCCATTTTATTTTTGGCTTCTTGTATTTCCCACTCTGGTAGCAAGTAGGAGCCCTGGTGGTGCAGTGGTTAAGAGCTCGCCTGCTAGCCAGAAGATCGGCACTTCGAATACACCAGCCGCTCCTTGGAAACCCTATGAGGCAGTTGTACTCTGTCCTGTAGGGTTGCTGTGAGCCGGGATCAACTCCATGACAATGAGTTTGGTTTCTTTTGGTAGCAACTAAATTGCTATGTTTCCATAAAATACTTTTAACTTAATAATCAGGTCCCTGTTGAGTTTCAGCAATTATGAATAAAATACCTAGAAAAAAATTTCATGTCTAACATTTTTGCTCACTCATCTCCCAGAATAGATAGATATTTTAGAGAATAATGAGGAATTTGATGGCATAGATTCAAGACCAAACCTACTGCCATCGAGTTAATTCTGACTCATAGCGACCCTATAGGACAGAGTAGAACTGCCCCACAGAGTTTCGGCTGTAATCCTTATGGAAGCAGACTGCCACATCTTTCTCCTGAAAAACTGCTGGTAGGTTCAAACTGCCAACCTTCCAGTTAGCAGCCAAGCACTTAACCTGTGTTCTACCAGGGCTCCCTATAGATTCAAGACAACAGAACTAAATTAGTGTCATCTCTCATGATTGCCAGGAAATTATTTAAATTATATCCTATTTCGTGTTTTGTGTGTGTGTGTTTGTTTAAAAAGGACATACTGTAGACCTAGTAATTGGTGTTGCTGAATAACCATGCCTTGCTGATATTCTAGATGCCTGTTGGTGCAGTTACCAGTGGATATTGGTGTTTGCAATGTAAACCTTGCTTTTATGTTCTTAGGAGTGGCTGTCCTAAGCCGTCCCAGGCTGTCCCTTACTTGCAGCTCTAAATTCCCTGGGCCAACGAAGCCTGCCAGAAAGACGAGAGGGTCAGAGTGTCCCCACTTCTCAGTGGCCTCACTTGGGCGTGGATCATGCAGCATTAGAGGCACTTTGGCATCTTGAATCTGGCCTCTGCAGCTCCTTCTCAGCCCACTACCAAATATTGGGCACCTGGATTAATTCCATGCCCTGCTGGGCCTTGTCGGCCATTACTGGAGATACCAAGTTGGAACTCCGCCAGTGAGACAAAGCAAAGGGGAGGCAGCCTGGAACAGAGAGCTGGGGCAAAGGGAGTTGTTTGAAGCTGGTGTGTGCTCTGTGTGTTAGAAAGTCACTACCTCAATTATCGACGACAGTAGCTGAAGAAGGCACATGTCAGCTCTGTAATTATCTGCAAAGCAGAAAATAGTGAAGAGCAGTAATGAGAGAAAGTAAACCTCTCTTCTGCACTTTGATCATGGATTCCTCAGTGCTTCATATTTACGAAATGCTCCCAGATAAAAGAAAATAATTTTAGAGTTGTGATTCACTTTTATTCTTGGCCCTCAGACTTAATTCTCCCAGTTTTATCTATAGAAAAATGGACAGGAAATAGAACTCAGGGAGTCTAGAACAGTAAAGACCTCTGTCCCCTTGGCCTCTGTTCCAAGCGTGTCACATCTTTAATATTTCTCTTCTACTTTGTTTTTTGAGGGGAGGAGTGAGTTAAATAGAGGGGGCTAGGGAAGAGCAAAAAGGGTTAGTAGGTTGACCCATTAAGCAAGTCAAAGAATACAAAGTATTAAGAAAACACGAATTCATGCTATTAGAAGTCTCCACAGGTCAAGCTTTGAAGGACAGATATTTGTAGGGAGTTGTTGACTCGTGTGTGGGAGATGGATGAGTTGCCTGGTACCAATACGGATTGGCTAGGTAACCCTAATCAAGGTAGTATTCCTCTCTAGGCCACTGTTTTATCACCTGTATAATGAGGTCATTCCTGTTGATGATAGCAAATTTCCATCCAGCTCCGTGACACACGTCTTAGCTGTCCCACATAATCCACCAAGCAGAGGTACCAATGACTGTGATGATATACCATGTTACCTAGATTTCAGCAGTGTGATGTGCTAGAGGCAAGTGGAAGAGGATGGGAGACTAATTTAAGAAGGTAGTTGTTGCCCTGCCAGCCTAACACCTATACTACGGCTTAAACGTAGCCCTTTTTTTATTTTAAATTGGGGTACCAAGACTAAATTTAGCTGTAATTGTATTATTACTCTCGATTTTTTTTTTAAACTTCTATTTTTACATTTGTTTATTAAATTCGATATGCCATTGCCTAAAAGTTCATGCAGTGCTTTATAACTTTTGTTTAATTATTTAGGTACAAAAATACCCCCCAGACCTGTATTAACACCAGAATGAGTTTCTGAAAGGTGTTTGCTTATTGAGCCTCTAGAATTTTTCTTGCTTCTTCCGTTGTCAGTTGTGTCTCCCCCAGTGCACCCACCCCTACCCAGCTGCAGAATCTCTGCATTGGTGGAAAATAAACTAAGACAGAGGCAGCTATTTAAAAAAAACATTAATTTCTCCAGTTGCCTGTGTCTTTTATCAGTGAGCTCTGTCAAATGGTACTCAAGGCAACCGTGGGTGAGTTTTGAATGTGCCTTTTCATAGAGTGAATCATCTTCACGGTGGTGGTATTGTTTGGCACATTACCTGTACTTGAAGGTAACTCAGTTGATCAGAATTCCTTTGTTGTTGTTGTTGTGTGCCGTCAAGTGGATTCCGACTCACAGAGACCCCGGTATGACGGAGCAGAACCACCTCATGGGGTTTCCTAGGCTGTAATCTTTACGGGAGCAGATCGCCAGGTCTTTTCTCCCACGGAGCAGCTGGTGGGTTCAAACCATCAACCTTTTCGTTAACATCCAAGTGCTTAACCACTGTGCCACCAGAACTCCTTAGTATTCTCTTACCCCTCTTATATTTATGGCTTATAGCGAGGTTCCCTATCACACATGCAGAATTCAGTGTCACAGAGCTTGGAGGGACCTTAGAGACTATTCTTACCACTTATTGTAAGGATAGGGAATCCTGGGATTAGAGAGGGAAAGATCAGCAGGTCAGAGGCCATGCTGGACCAGACCCTGGGTCTCCAGCATCCGTGTGTGCCTAGAGCATAGTCAAGGGTGTGGAAGACGGGACGTAGCCTAAGACTTAGGTGCTTTTGGTGGTCACATCTAGGTTTTGAGTTTAAGGGTCATGGTAAGACCCTCCCCTTCCCTTTGCCTGCAAAATATTATTTCACCACATGTCGTAATAATTGCAATTCTGCTGAAAACAACTAATCTCTTTAGGATGAAAGCACTGTGTATCCAAAAGATTGATTCCTTTGTGGATGTTCATGCCCCTGGGACAGGTGGCAGCAGCATCCATTTTGACCAACAATACTGGTAGCATCAGTGGGTTTGAGATGACTTTCCACTAGGACACCTTCAGTGCATCCTGGAGAGTCTTCATTGGGCTTTCTTCTAGGGAACCCAATCTGCTTTTGTAAAGATTACAGCCTAGGAAACCTTACATGGCAGTTCTGCTCTGTCACATGAGGTCGCAATGAGTCAAAAATTGACTTGATGGCACCTAACAACAACAGTCTTTTACAGAAGCAGATTGCCAGGTCATTTCTTCCACAGAGCCCCTAGGTGGATTCAAACCGCCAACCTTTTGGTTAGCAGCAGAGTGCTTAACTGTTGCACCATCAGGGCTCCTTAAGAACGGTCTAGAGAATATAACTGACTTTCTTCAATGATGGTGAATTTTGGAGGCCTTGGTGGTTTATGCAAATTAATTAAGCATTCCATATTTTTTTTGGAGCCCTGTTGGCACACTGGTTAAGAGCTCGGCTGCTAACCGAAAGATCAGCAGTTCAAATCCGCCGTTCGCTCCTTGGAAACCTTACGGGGCAGCTCTGTTCAGTCCTATAAAGTTGCTGTGAGTTGAAATCGACTTGATGACACCGGGTTTGGTTTTACAAGTTTTTTGGTGGTTTACTGTAGATCCAGATGAGTTAATCAGTTGCTTAGTTGAGTGCCTACTCTGTGCCAAGCAATGTTGTTGGCACCAAGGATACAATAGTGAGCAAATCTAAGTCTCTGATCCCGTAGACTTTCATTCTAGAAGTGATGGATGATAAACTGGTAAATAAGTGAGCAAGCTCATTGCAGACTGTGATAGGGAAAGATAAGGCAGGGTGCTGTGATAGATGGTGATAAGGGTAGGCTCATGGTGGTGATTTAGGTTGGGCTTTCTGAGGATGCATCCTGGCATCTCAGACCTGGATGGCAGCCATGGGCCATCTGGAATCAGAGTCATCAGGCAGAGGAGGCTGCTAGTACATTGGCCCTAAAGCAGGATTAGACGTGGTGCACTCACAGGGCACACATAGTCCAGGATGGTTGGAGTATAAGGAGCAAATGGAGAGACAGGTTCCCAATGAGGTTAAACATAGTTAAGGGCCAGATCATATTTGACCTTATAGGCCATAGGAGAGAACTTTCGTTTACTCATAAGAGCAGTAGGAAACCAATGGGAGGTTAAAACAGGAAATGACATAAACAGATTAGCATTTAAAATATAAGCACACACATGATATAGTAACAAGTCATTGTGCTGTGATTTGTCTCTCGGTACAGAAGTAAATATTTTAAATTTTTAATTGACAGGTGTAGGTATTTGAGGTTTTACTACACATGTATCCAAAAACAAAACAAAACAAAACAAATCCCATTGCCGTCAATTCAACCCACAGCGACCGTATAGGAGAGAGTAGAACTGCCCCATAGGATTTCCAAGGAGCGCCTGGTGGATTCGAACTGCGGACCTTTTGGTTAGCAGCCGAACTCCTCACCACTACTCCACCAGGGTTTCCACACACGTATAGTCTTTAAAAATTAATGAAATATTAACATGTATTTTTCCAGTTGTCTGCTTTGTTTGACCAATGACCTTTGCATAGTAAAATGAATACTGACTTCTCCTAAAGTGAACAAAATCACAACTGCGTTCATAGCTTCATGAACTAAGTATCAGAAAAAGGCAGTTTGATGGTGATGCCTAGGACATCTCTTTGAAGGAGATAAAAAATAAAGAAAAATTGCCTCCCAAGATTAGCTCTTTAATATTTTCCTGTTAACTCTATTTTTAGGTATCTTGAGTCACAAGGATAGCAGGTCACCAGTAACCACTGGGACTTAGAAGTTGATCAGCTCTGTGAGATTGAGACCTGCACCCTACAGTTAGAAATTATAGCTGACAATGACGACTGTAGTTTTGTCATTTGTCCATGGCTGGAGTTGGCTCCTAGAAACTGATGTTGTTAGTGACATCTAGTGGATCTTGAGTAGATAAAGCTTAGTGGCCTAACAGATGCTTAATTAATTGGTAAGTGCTGGTTGTGGGACCAACTCCCTTTTCACCATTGCCATGTTCTACAACAATAAAATGTATTCTATGTAATCCAGTTTGGTGTCTCTAGAATACAAAACTATGAGGAGTATTGAAACTTAATTTACCTCTCCTTCCCGTAGACAGAAGATCCAACCATGGAGCGACCCTATACGTTTAAGGATTTTCTCCTCAGACCAAGAAGGTGAGGCTCGAGTATGTATATATGTTTGTGGGTCTGGGTGTGTGTTTTTCCATATACTTTGGTTTTTAGTTTTCTCTGAGGAAGATTTTAACTTTTTATATTTCTTCTCACACACAAAAAAAGTCATCATACTCTTTTAGGAACTATGTGGGATCATACTACTGATAACAGCAACTCGAAAGATTAGATAGGAACCTTAAGGGACAGTGGATTTATATTAATGGGGGAGGAACAACTCAGAAAAGGACAGTGAGAATGGTCATACAACTTGAAGAACGTAATCTCTCACTAAATGGTACACGTAGAAACTGTTGAACTGGTGTATGTATTGCTGTGTATATTCTCAACAACAACAAAATAATTTTCTTAAAGTCATCATATATATGAAAGATATAGCCAAGTCATACCCTTTATAACCAATTTTATTCCATAACACAGTCACAAATCTCGAGTTAAGGGATTTTTGCGATTGAAAATGGCCTATATGCCGAAAAATGGAGGTCAAGATGAAGAGAACAGTGACCAGAGGGATGATATGGAGGTAAGCTGCAAGCTTTCCTTGCCTACAGCTGTATTAATATTCTACTTTTAGACTTGAATCCTTATAATTTAAAGAAATTACAAATTTACAAAGGTTAAATGTAGAAAAACTTACCTGTATCCATGAATCTGTCTCTGAAAGTCTACCAGTTTTTTTGTTCTGGTAAAAAAAAGATGAATGCTTCATTTTATGTTATAGCACTGATAATTGACGAGTCCCCCCTTCCTTTTCTCTTTATAAAAATGCTACCCCCATAATACACTGGTGGACCCGCCCCTATGTGAAGCTCTCCTCACACATCGAATTCTATTATTGCTTTGGACTTTCAGCTCTTTGTAAATTCCTCTTAGCGCTTGGAATTTCTTCAGAGTGGAAAATGTGGATAACATGATTCAGAAAACCTTTTCCAAGTTTCTTACTCATTTGGCATACAGGTGATAGGCTGCATTAGAAAAGCCTTAGTCTAGGAATGCCATTTCGGAACTAGCTATCCAACGGAATTTTCCTTTTTGCCTTCTTGGCATAGCTGCTTTTTAACTTTCTAGTCACATACTGATACCTGGGTCCCATTGTACTCGGCACACCTCCGTCAGTGCTGTTTTGTTAGGCAGATTCTCATGTTGTTCTGAAGATGCCTATTAAACAAGGCCTCTCTGGCACGTTTCCACATCTGTTTGCAGCTGTTGCGTATATGCGACGTGTGAATAATGTGTTATGGGCAAGTCCACGGAACCCCCTCTGACCAGGAGGTCCTATTTCCAGGCAGTATTTCACTTGTGAGCTTTCAACTTCCCCCCCTGTATGTGAAGAGGAGTGAAGTGGGTGGTAGGCAGTTCTGATTGTTAACATTTCCTAAGCCCATTATCAGATTTTTATCTCAAATCCAAGCAATTTTTTACACTCTTCTAGCCTTCCAACTGCAGTAACCAGTGAATTACTTGATTTTCCAGTGACTTTACCAGGGGATATTAGGAAAGGAAGACTTAATGCCTAAAATATGTGTTACAAAAATGTCACTCCAGCTCTGGTCCCATGAAGCCTGTTTATGTGGAGGCATAAGTAGAAAGCAGCGGCTCCCAAATGTCACCTGCTCCTGATGTTGCTCTAGGTGCAGAGTGGGCTTCTCACCTCCTCCTGAGGCCAGCCTTGGTGCCATCCTCCCTGGGGAGCGATTGTACCCTGAGCCTCCATAGTCACCATGCTGTGATTCCTGCCAGAATACACAGGTAGTGTGGTTCATCTCCCCAGCTCCGTTACCTTCTGTAGGTGTTGAAAAGACAGCAGCTGTGATGTAACCCATGTCATTGGCACTGCTTTGTACAGTCAAAATAAACCAAACACATTTCCATCTAGTCGATCTCGATTCGTAGTGACCCTATAGGACAGAGTAGAAATGCCGCATAGGGTTTCCAAGGCTGAAATCTTTATGGAAGCAGACTACCATGTCTCCCTCCTGCTTGTGGCGGGTAGGTTCAAACTGCCAACCTTTCTGAACACCTTAACCACTGTGCCACCAGGGCTTCTCCACAGTCAAAATAACAAACATGAAATCTGAAAAGAGTAAAGTGTGACAGACTTAGCAGACTACGTGGAACCCAATACAAATCTGTGTTGCTCCCTGTGGTATAGTCATCTAAGAAGGCAGCACAGTTCATTCACCATTGCTCAGAATATTTCTGAAACTCTTCTAGAACTGATTTTACCCTTCTGTGGGAATATATTCGCTTGTAACACATGAAGGCACTGCAGGAGCCAAAGTGCAAAGGAACAAGGGAGAAACACAGAATGCGCCGTAATTGTCTTCTCCTCGCATCTTGAGAACCAACGTCGTAATCACCCATTTAATTTTATTCCACAGCATGGCTGGGAAGTTGTTGACTCCAATGACTCGGCTTCTCAGCACCAGGAGGAGCTTCCTCCTCCCCCTCTGCCCCCCGGGTGGGAAGAAAAAGTGGACAACTTAGGCCGTACTTACTATGTCAACCACAACAACAGGACCACTCAGTGGCACCGACCAAGCTTAATGTGAGTACCATTCAGCACAGGAACACGTTGTCACACTCTACAGGATCAGGTGCCAACATGGCACATCTTTAGTGACCAGGTTGAAAAGTAAATGTCTCAGTGACAAAAGCACATGGTTGTAGCACAGCAAGATTCCCCTTCATTAAGGTAAGGAGTACGAGGGTAAGTCAAAAAGTATTGCTACAAAATCATAGAAACCTTTATTAAACAAAAATATCAAAATGTGAGGCTGTTGTTTCCCGACATAGCCTCCATCTAGATCTGTACCCTTCTGAGTGTGGTGTCTCCATCTCTCTAACCCTTCTCCAAAGAATTCTGCACTCTTCAGTTTACGCCACATCAAAACGGCAGTTTGGGCATCTTTGAGCGACTCAAATTGTGTTCCTTTTAAATGTTCTTTGAGTTTTAAGAACAAAAAGAAGTCTAAAGGGGCAAGATCAAGGCTGTGGGGTGGATGGGGTAAGGTTTCCCAACAAAATTCTCGTACGACAGCCCTTGCTACCCTTGAAGAATGAGCAGGTGCAGTGTCATGATGGAAGAAAATTCCTTGGTTCAACTTTCCTGGCCTTTTTCTCACCAATGCAATTCTTAATTGTCTTAAAGCTGCTGTGATCGTCCCGTGTCCTTCAAGAAAATCTGTCAAGAATACCGCTTTGGAATCCCAAAAAACAGTCGCCATAACCTTCTGAGTGGTCTTCCCTCTCTTGTCTCATCTTTGAGGTCTTCCAGACCTTCCTTAAAATACTTGATCCATCTAAAAACTGTTGTTTTTATGTGGGGCAGCATTCCCATAAACTTGTTGCAAAGCTTCAGTAATTTGGGAAGATGTCCACTTGAGTTTTGTTAAAAATTTGATGTTAGCCCTGAACTCAAGATCATTTTTTTCCATGGCACAAAAAGTATCCTTTTTTTTTAAGGCATCCTAACGAGACTAAGACAAATGTGTTGCTGAGAGAACTTGTCTGCAGCCATCCACTGATTGTAGAGTCATGTTTAAACACGTTTTATTTGGAATAAACCCGTGTGTGTATGAACTGGAACCCTAGAAGCAATACTTTTTGACTTACCCTCGTATGAGAGCCAGTCAGGATTTGTGTACTTTAAGGAAGATGCTCTTGCCTCTGTATCACATTCTGCTGTTTAAAATATAAACTAGTGATGGTTTAAATTTGTAAGATTTGTGAAATATAAAGCAGAAGTTATTTTTCCTAGATTTATCTTATACTTGGGGATTATATTGCTTCCTTCTTTGGCTTCCTCTGCTGAATGAATCCAGAGTAGAAAGCAACAAGCAAATTGGATTTGCCATTTTCTGCTTTTCTGGCCTTTTTTGAATTTTTATTCCCTTTAATTATTTGATTTGGGAACTCTCTCAAGATCTTTTTTTTTTTTTTTTTTGAGGAGTTTATATATCACCCCTTGATACAATTAGAAGCACAATAGGAGGGTTGCAAAATCAGAATTAGTAATTACTATTTATTCTAATCCCTTACCAGCCTCAGGCATTCAGTGAACCGATTACTGGTTTGTTCACTCGATAGTTTTTGGTTTGGAGATAACAAATAAACACTAGTTGAGCTTCAACTCCTGTAAAAACTGTTAATAAACAATAAAAGGCAAAAATAAAATACTGAAAGAAGGGAAAGGAAAAATTATCCTAGAAATCATGAGCTTCCTAGTAGCCAAGACAAGGAGGTAACTAACAGTGAATAATATAATTTTTAATATGTAATAAAAGGAAGTATAAAGTAGGTGAGATTTTTCAACCCAAACTCTGAAAGAAGTTTGCGTATGATGTCTTTTAACCAAGTGGCATTAGCAATATAATGGATGATATTCTTGATAAACATTTTATCTTTAAAAATTTCAGAGATATTCTGGGTTATGACTGTGGATGGGCAAGTCTTGTCCAGGTTTATTTAATTTAGAGATAAAGCTTGTAGGTTCTGGATCAACAAAAGGCCAGTCCTCCCTAAGCCCCCACGTGGTTTCTCCTGAATATCAGCTAGCTGTCTTATTAGTGTTAGACTGGACTGCACACCATGGACACCAGCTCATTATTCCTTAGCAACATCTGAAAGACAGCGTGAATAGTCTAAATATCAGAAGATCCCTGTGATGTTGAGCTGTGCTTTATTGTGATTTTTTTTCCATGGAAATACAAATGGAAATGGTACAGTTGATCCTTTTTAGTTATTTATTATTGCTTCTTTTTTTTTCTTTTTTACAGTTTCCTTTTTATGCCCACGGCTATTAAATCTATTATAAGCCGTTTGACTGTTCTAGCTATCTGTAGTAAAACAAACTTTGGACATACCTTCAGCTTAATTACATGTAGTGATTAGAAGAATCTTGGTAGCAAAGCACCATTATTTAACTTTTCTGAACAACTTAAGAAAGGAGTATCTAAGACTGTAGCACTCTAGGGACCAGAGTGTCACGTAACCTCTGTAGAGAAATGATCACTAGCAATGCACAAAGGAAGAAATACGAATAGCCAGTGCATATATGGAAGAATGTTCAACTTCACTAATAGTTAATTTCCATGTAGATTGAAGTTCATATTATGAGACTAAATGGGGTTAATTACTACTTTGTCTACCTCACAGAGTTGTGGAGCTCTAATGAGGAAATTCCTGAGAAAACACTTTATACAATTTTTAAGCATTCCATCTCTGCTTTATGTATCTTTGTCCCCAAGAGCCAAACAAAAACAAAAGGTATAACTTGTTTAATGCTGGTTCATCAGTAGTATAGAAGCAACAAGGAAAAAATATTGTTCTTAATCCCAGTTCAGGTTCACATGCAGTTTAAGGAGGAGTCAATGTGTGACTGTCCCCATTAGTGAGGCAACAATGCCAAAGGGAGAGGCTGAGCCAGGAGTGATGTCGGGAACCAGAGGAGCCCCTGCCTATCCAAAGGGTGTGACTAGAAAGCAAGAGAAAGTTTAGAGGATAAGGAAAAGGAGATGTTTTCCACAGCAACCTCTTCATTCCGTCTGAACTGTTTGAACATTCAGGGTTCTTTCCTCTTTATTTGGTTTGACCAGAAGCCCTTGGGCCTCCCAGAATTATTTTTAAGAATTCTTTTCATTCAAAAATAATTTTTTTCATGATTCAATTTTCACAGAATGCCACAGCAGCCTTTGGAGGAAAATTGATGTGGTTAAGAAGTGTCTTTTATAAAGAGGCTGTATCTGAGGAAATAGATACTCATTACCATGTGCTAAGCAAAGCATTAAGACTGACCTAATGATTTTCATCTCTTGCCTAGTTTAATGCTGTGGTTTGCCCTTCCTCTAGTCTTGTGCCCCAAACCCCAGCCCACTTACAAATCTTCACTGACTGCCCATTGCCCTCAGGACATGCTTATAACATCCTTCTCCAGCCTTGTCTCTTGCCAAGCTCGTCACCCACAGACATAAACATACAGCTCAGTCATTGGCCCAGTCATAGTTGTTTTTAGATTATGTTCTCTTGTTTCTGGGCCCCATGGATGTGGTAGTGTCCTTGCCTCACCCCCCACATACACCCAAAAAGAAACCCTAGAACCCTTCCAGTAGCTGACTTCAGATCTCAAGCTATATATACCTTGCTCTGGAGAACTATTACTTCTCCTGTCCCCCGGGTCTGGTTTAGGTATCTTTCCCAGGTAACCTGAAAGCCATCTGCTTCCCCTATCATAGCAAGTAACACACTATATTCTAGTTGACTGTTTGGACAGGAACCATGTCTTCTTACATATGTACCCCTAATAAATTAAAACCAAACCCACTGTCGGTCCTAACTCATAGCAACCCTATAGGACAGAGTAGAACTGCCCAATAGGGTTTCTAAGGCTGTAATCTTTACCGAAGCAGACTGCTACATCTTTCTCCCGAGGAGTGGCTGATGGGTTCGAACCACTGACCTTTCTGTTAGCAGCCAAGGCTCCTGTACCCCTGGTGTCTGACGCAGATTGAATGAATGACTAAAGATGAGTCACTTATCAAATGACTATGGGCACATGTTTAGTGGACCGTCCAGACAGGCCACATTCTGGGGTTAGAACTTTAGAATTGGAAGTGGCCATCGAAGACACTCCAGCCCTTAAAATTGGAAGTGGCCATCGAAGACACTCCAGCCATCTCAGGTCTGGTAGTGGTTTTTAAAACACCCCCAAATTTTAGATTTTTCCTTGTTCTATTCATATGTAAGCTGCAAACTTTTTTCTGTAAAACCACAATTATCAAAAAATTATGTAGAGGAATTGTATTATGACATTCTGTAATGAAGGTGAACTTGTTAATCTCGAACACATTTTAACCCTATTTATTAGCTATCTTCCTAAAACACTGAACATTTTCTTCTGGCTTAGTAGTAATTTGACTCAGGTCATCATTGCAGTCATTCATGTATTGTGAATGTAAATGATTGACACATTAATCTTAGTTGGCACTGAACTTGATTCCTTGATAAATTTATGATTTGTCATTGGCTTAATTCCCATGAAAGTCAAATGAAGAATGTATATGAGGAATTAATAATTGAAGAAAATTGATGTAGCTGTTTCTTAAATTATTTCCTTGCCCCCAATAAAGACATTTTTCTGTTTTAATTTGTCAGCTTAGAAATATTTTTAAATGTTCGTGTTTCCATTAGTAACTGTTTAAACTTCTAGCCAGTTTCAACAGACTGGCTCACTTACCTGCTTAATTAAATGCAAGAGGATGCCCTTGCATGAACATTGTCGCATTATCCTTAAAGACCCTAAGAGCCCCAGGTTGGAATCTGACAGTGAGAGGCATCTTGCTTCTTATGCTATTTAATTGTTTCTGGTTCCCACTGACTACCAATTCTTTAAGGAGCTCTTGGCTGCTATAAGCTTGGCAGTTCTAATCCACCCAATGAAAGACCTGGTGATATGCTTCCATAGAGATTACAGCCAAGAAAACCCTATGGGACAGTTCTTCTCGGTCACATGGGCTCACTATGTGTCGGAATTGACTTGATAATGTACAACAACAGCAACTGCTAATTATTTGGGCTTGTTGGATAAGGAAAATCGACATAAGTGATTTTGAACATTCCTTTTTTTAAATCTGTCCTTCTAGAATAAAGGAATTTTGTATACTTTTAAAAGATATGAGATATAGACATAATAATATTAAAACATTATTTGTCTCCATCTCTCAGAAGTCTTGTAGCAATTCAAGTATGTGTTAAGCACCTCATGTAGACCAGGTGCATAGTAGACATTCAGTGTTGATAGAATAAAAACCACAGCTGACATTTCAAATGAAATTTTTAAAGTTTTATAAAACCTTTGGATATAAAATATTTTCAGTCGAGGTCGATCATTATAAAGTGAAGTTGCTTTCATCCTTCATGAAAGTCTAAGAGGGTCACGGAAAGCTTGTTTGGCCTTCTTAGACACTACTGGAGTATTTTACATATTTCTAAAATGTGTTCTGAGCATTTTCCTTCCAAGTTTTTTTCAGTTCTGCAATACATTCTAATGAATTTTTATAATCATTTTGTGCTTTAGAATTGAATGCCATATACAAATGACTAGAGCAACATAAAATCACAAATATACTATTACATTTTTTAACTTGCCCAGCAGGTCATTTTTAACCATGCTGTTGTGATGGTTTCATTAGTACACTTGTCTCCCTTGATTTTAATTATTTTCTCTATGGTCATAATTACGTCAGTTGTTCTTAAGATATTTCTGTTTATTTAGTGTACTTTTTAAGTCTAGTGTTGTAATTTAATATAACAATAAAACGTATAAAATTTCTGTTAGAGTGCAAAAGCTTGTGTATTGTGTGTGCAAATATAATAAAACTTGATTCATTCAGATTTTAACAATAAGGAGTTATAATTTAACTGTGGATTAAACAGAAATTAACTTTCACTGTATCCACTTTCACAATAAATTAATACTAAACTGTTTCAGAAACTGGCATTAAGAGTCCCATATTTATTTGGGAACAGTGATACTAGTTGAAAAGTGTTCTTTAGTGGCATATGGTATGTTACGAATTAGTTGAAGGCTATTAGAAAATTTTAAAACCTACATTTTAGAAAGAATATAATGCGAGTTTTGATTAATACCACCATATTTCAATTTGTCTGAAATAATGATGTTTTCAAATATTTTGGAATATTAACTTGCTACATGATTTTTGCTAATGGAATATGGTATATTTCTGAAAATTATGTGAGCATTTTCTCTGAAAACTTCTATTCTGAAAGCCTCCAACTCGTGTTTCTTCTAAAGGATGGTTGCCTGTAATTTATTCCAAAAAAGTTTTCAAGATTATAACAATGGTTTCAGATCCTGAATGAGAAAGTTTTATGACAAAACAGGGTATGAAGTTGCAATGTTCTTCAAATCCCAGTAGATTGGGGAAGTTATTGCCTGATGTTTATCTGAATTTTTAAAAGTAGGTTGAGAGGAAACACTGTCATGATTCTGAGATTTGGTCAAAATGAAATCCAAAGCAGCTGAAAAAAAATTCCTACTGGGTCAGGAACATTTCCCTCCAGATTCCAGCTTTGAATGTGTACTAATGGTTAATGACCAAAAGTAGCTACCTTGTCATTGCTAGACCCCAAGAGGGGCCACAGTTGACCAGTGGCCTGCCTTGTCACTGTGGCAGATGAAGGGAGGACATTGATTTCTATTCTTTCTTCAACACTAAAATTCATTTTGTAATACATGCACGAAATAGGCTCAGAGTATCATGGCTAATACATTTAAAAACTGCATTTATTTGATTAAAATGGACCTAGAACAGTACATTAGCTAAGATATGGTGGAAGAATTCTCATAATTAACAACCAGCTAATTGTCAGTGTTTGTTTAAGAGCACGGCATTTTAGTATGTGTAGGTTTCTGAGGGTGTCCCTGGCTGGTATGGATAATTAGTGCACTTGGCTGCTAACCAAAAGGTTGGAGGTTCAGGTCCTCTCAGAGGTACCTCAGAAGAAAAGCCTGGTGATCTACTTTTGAAAAATCAGCCATTGAAAACCCTGTGGAGCAGAGTTCTACTCTGACACACATGGGGTCACCATGAGCCAGAGTCTACTTGACGGCAACTGGTGGTTGTAAAGTTCTTAGTGAGAATTCATTGTTGTTGGAGGGCAAGTTCTCAATGTCTCTTCTCTTCTCCTCAATTCCCCCTTACCTCCGCACGGCCCAGGGATGTGTCTTCCGAGTCAGACAACAACATCCGGCAGATAAACCAGGAGGCCGCCCACCGGCGGTTCCGCTCCCGCAGGCACATCAGTGAGGACTTGGAGCCCGAACCCACAGAAGGGGGAGATGTCCCTGAGGTACGAAGTCACTCTGAGCTGCTTCCAAGTTTTCAAAGTCTTCCAGGTTGATTTTATATTGTAATTTCTTTTCTCAGGAAGCCTTGCTTAGAAAGAAAGAACAAGTTCTCGTAGCTAATAGACTTTCATCTGGGTATTAATTAACTTAGAAAGTGCTTGCAAAAGCCATGTTTGACAAATACATGTATCTCTATATCATTATAAAAGGGAATGACGTTATTTTTCGTATAGAAACCGTAGAAATCTTAAGATGTTTTCGCTTGATATTTTTCCCCAGGGTCTAACCATGTCTCATTTGGCAACATGTTTATCATATTTGAGCAATTGAGTGAGCCTTATTTGGGTCTCAAAATACAAGTTTTTACCACACTGTTGTGACTTCTTGAAAGAGATTTATTATCTAGAAAATACGACTTTGAGTGAATAGAGATGTTTATAATTTTCCCCTTCATTGTTTATGGTACATTGTTGGGGGGGGGGAATTATGAATTAAACAATAAATTAGCAGTGACCAGAATTTCCATGCTGCTTTACCAACTTGTTTACTTACTAGGAATATATTTTTTTTAGGCATTGTGTCAGAAAGATATCATTTATAAAATGTTCCAGTGATCAAAAGTGGAAAAGAAAAATTAATGATTCTGTAATAAATTCACCAAAAGTTACTTTATACCAGTGTTTAATTATGGCTTATAGCAACTATGCTGTTTTTATTGTGCATTTTCAACAGAAAAATCCGTGCAAATAAACAACCTGAGGGTAATTTTTACTATATGCATGCACGTAATGACTAAGCATCTACTAGCTCTCAGACAGATGCATATCTTAGCTCCTTAGGATATGCATATAGTAACAAGTTCCAGAAATAAGTCACTGCTCCGAGAGGTGGTGTCATAAAGGGGTTACTAGCACAGCCTTTGGGACCATGCTTCCTTGGTTCAAGTCCTGGTCCTGCCACTTACTAGCTCTGCTACCTTGGGCAATTAATTCCCTGTGCCTCAGTTTCCCCATCTGTAAACTGGGGTAGTAGTCCTATCTTCCTTGTGGTTATTGTGAAGATCATGTGCCTCATCATTAAGTGCTCAGTAAATTTTAATTATAGTTACCCCAGTGGTTATTGTTATTACAAATTTTTTTGCTGGAGGGATACAGGAGGATCCCAGTTCTGGTATTTACTGCAGTGTCTCATTCCTTGAAAGCCGTGGGAAACCATTTCAGAAGAAGTGAATCTCACTGGGGACTCACTCAGCCTGACCCTGCCACCCCCACCGGCCTCCCCTGTGTCTCGGACGAGTCCTCAGGAGCTGTCAGAGGAACTGAGCAGAAGACTTCAGATCACTCCAGATTCCAATGGGGAACAGTTCAGCTCTTTGCTTGTAAGTAATGATCTTGTTTGATCAAGAAGTCAAGCAAACGATTTATCATTTTTTTGCTTCTTTAAGAGAATTGTGCGTGCAAATATTGATGAAGGTCTTCTAGCTCGCAGATAACTCTTTCCTTCCTTTCCTGGGAAAAGCAGGACTATACCAAAATTAACCTGAGCAGGTTAGGATCTTTTTCATTTGTAAAGAACTCAAAGGAATAAGATTCTATGAGTTTTGCAATTGTCAGTTTTATTTTTTGTAGAATCCTTTTTTTTCCCCTGCCAAAAGCTCATGTATAGTACCTTCGTCACAGAGGTAGTATTTTACACAGGGACCTGGGGGACAGCAGCCCTCCTAATCAGTCCTCTAAAGTCTTACCCTGCATGCCTTATCATTCCCAGTTCACAGATGAAGGCATGGTGTTGAAGTGACCTGTCTGTGTTAGAATGGGAGGTGGGGGACATCTAAGTCCCAGAGTACAAATCCTTGAGAAAGGTTGTAACTTGTGACACTGACATCAAGGTAGAATTTGAACTTGGGTACTCAGCCATCTGATGAACTCCTTCCAGGAGCTTCAGATGGGGCCAGGCCCCAGTGAGCAGCAGGGGAATCAGCCATGAAGACCTAAATGCAGTGGCCTCTTAGTGTCTGATGGGGCAAAACTGCAGAAAAGCTCATAGAAATTCTTGCTCTTGCACGGAATTGAGAACAAATGTATTCTCAGTGTTTCTGGAGTAATTGAACTTAAAGATGGACTGTAGTAAATGATGGTAGTCAATGCCATGAAAATGGCATCCTAGAAAAAACAGTCATTATTAGCATGATATCAATGCAAATGATAGGAAGACTGCATAAAATGTAGAAGCAGTAGGTACTCAAACAAAATGGTTACTCCTTCAGCAACAGTGTGTTATTTAAAAAGACAACATTGGCCCGTTTTGCATGAGTTACAGTAATTACTCAGTTAATGTGGTTTCACATTAAAATTCTATGAATATTTTTCAAAAAGAGAAATACCACTGAGATGAAAATTTAGTTCTAAAGGGACAAGAAAAAAGGAGTGTGCATGTATGGGATATTTGAATTGGTGGGACTGTTGCTATGGAAACAACATAAGCAATGAAGATTTATATTTAAAATCTATAAAAGAAAGGAAGTACCACAGAAACTATAGCAATTGTACATGTTTAGTCTACCAAGTGAAAAAACATGAATTTTTTTTCAACATTAATATTAAGCTAGTATTTCTAGTTATTCATACTGGGGGCGCCTGCATTTGATTATTCTAGATACATAAAATATCCTTAAGACCCAAGGACAATGTTACATTATTTTAAGAATGTTTTCTTCAAGTCTGGTAAAACTGTTAAATAAGAGTAAGTAGGAAGGAGAAGAATACAGGACTTTTCTCTAATTTTGCTTATCAGGGTCACTCTATATTCAAGGACAGTAGCATGAACTTGTACTAAAGAATGAGTCCTTCACACTAACTGTTGTGGAAAGACATGAAAAGCCCCCTGCCCCCGGCCCATGGCTTGATGGCAACTGGTAGGGTTACAATGGCCTGTTGAGTCTCCTTTTGTGTTTTGGCCTCCTTTTATTTTTGCCATTAATTCTAATTAAGGACCCGTCAAAATCCCCTCTTGCTTAAAACCCTGAGAATGAAAATGAATGATAACTTGACTTCCTAAAGGATTGTTTCCTCTGCTCTTGAAAAGACGATGATTTCATTTAATTACCTCTTTTTTTTTAATTGATGTAATTAAATGAAGTTAACATTTCCAGTTAGTCTCCCATACAGAATTTTTTTTTTTAATACATTGTTATGAGACCCCAGCCGCTCACCCAATTCTGCGACAGCACACTCCTCCCCTCCGCCCCTGATTCCCTATGAACATTCAACCAGCTCCTTACTCTCTCTGCCTTCCCTTCTAACCTCTGGACAGAAGCTGCCCCTTTGGTCTCTTATATCTACTTGTCTAAGAGGCACATTCTTCACGAGTATCACTTTATGTCCCACAAACCAGTCCAATCCCTGTCTGAAGAGTTGGCCTTGGAAATTGTTTTAGTTCTGGGGTGATGGAGAGACCAGGGGCCATGCTTTCTGGGGCGCCTCCAGTCTTAGACCGTTAAGTCTGGTCTTCTTAGTAGTTCATTTAATTATCTCTTAATATCTAAGTGCAGTGAGTAGGACTGAGGGAGGTATTTTTTAAGCTAATGAAGCTTGTTTTTCAGAGTCCATTTTCCTGATGCTTTCTGTCCTTTCCTGCCTCCAGCAAAGAGAGCCCTCCTCAAGACTGAGGTCATGCAGTGTCACGGATGCGGTGGCTGAGCAGGCTCATCTACCACCGGTAACCCACACTCATTTTCAGTCATCACTTGGTTTTTTCAGCTTTTATTTAAAATCACCTGGCCTGCTGAGAAAGAGTTTTTCCTGTGCAAATCCGCTCAGCATAGAAATGAGGCATTTTAACCCTTTCAGGATGCTGTTACTTTCTCCTTTTAAATTTCTTTTGGTACTATGTGTTTTCCATAAATGGAAGGCATACTGAATCAAGGAGTTTCTCTGAGCGCAACAAAATATGGTACATGATTTGTGGGATAAAAATGCCACAATGATAACTGTGCCTTCCATTTGGTTATATTGGGCACCTCTGGTTTTCCTAGCAAATCGCCCAAGAGAGTAGATTTCCAATACAAAGAATTGGTATTGCCACCAGAGTCTCTAAAATGCTAAAACCTTCATTGCTTTAGTTTTTTCACTCAAATTAATACCAATTCTGATATGCTCGTTTGACTGAAGGGGTATATTAATAGTCCCCACCCACCCTTTTTTTTTAATATGTCATTCAGTCTCAAAAGCTGTGCTCCAGTGAGCACTATGTTGAGAACATATGCAGTCTCCTTCAACAGGAAGAACTCTTCAGGCTTGGCAGCCAAATGTTCCTTTTCTTTTACCAATGGCCTAAATCTTCAACTCCACAAAGCCTCTGCACCCTCCTGAAAGACAGCTCTGCTGACTAAAAAATTGGCTATAATTTGTTCCCACTCTCCTACAATTTTAATAACTATCAGCAAACATGCAAGTGTAGGAGGTTTAGTAACAGGACATATATGTAAATAAATCTTCAAATTGGGAGGCAGACCAGAGCTGCCTTGGGGAGACATTTGGTGCACACATTAAAAATCAGGACGCACGTAAACGTTTCTTCATTTGGAGGTGAAAATATTACATGGTTTTAACGTGTCCAATTTGATGTTTGACCTTGACCAATTTTTTTTATTACTACAAATCCTTGAACGTTTTTAGTACTAATACTTTTACTATATATATGAATTTGAAAAAAAAATAAAGAGTCCACTATGGTTTTTGAAATCACAGTGTCTTCCCGATTATGTACATTACTGCTCTGCTTCAAAGGGTGTTTTTGCCTCGATTTTAGTTTTGTATGTTTAAAAAATGGATTAATGAGTATACTAATAAACGAAGCAACCAAAATAAGTTAAATGGTGGTTTAAACTGAATGGGCTGGACAAGAGCATCCTTTCTGGGATGGTTTCAGTGCAGACTGCCTGAAAACACAACAATCCACTGTGCTGGACTGGGGTGGACCCTTTTCAACCAAATGATTCTGTGATTTTCCTTGATGAATTAATGGCACTTTCTCTCTCTTTCAAAATCAGTGTCAGTTTCATATGCAAAAACAGCTCACTTTCCTGGAAACTGATGATTCCTTTTTCTTCATACTCAATCAGGCTGTGCACTCACTGACCACCAGTCGCCTCTTGAGTTTCGAGTTTGGCAGGTTTAAGAATCTGCCAATTATTTAATAAGATCCCTGGGTTGTGCAAACGGTTTGTGCTCACTACTAACCTAATGTTTGGCTCTTTGAACCCACCCATGGCACCACGGAAGAAGGGCCTGAATATCTGCTTCCGTAAAGATTACAGCCAAAGAAACCCTATGGAGCAGTTCTACTCTGTAACACATGGGGTCGCCATGAGTCAGCGGGTTTGGTTTTGATTTTTTAATTATTTAATAATGGGGGTAAAACCACGCAAGTTTTCTTTTCTTTTTTTTTTTTTTTAAAGGCATCTGACTTTGTTGAGGTGGTCATTTCATTGGTTACCTAAATCAAGTTGCGACCCAAGCCTCCTCTTGGTGGACGGGGGAACCACAGTCCCCTTTTCCTTCTGGTCATCAGTGACTGCTCAGCATTATTGGACAGGGTGGATTTCACAGATTCTGATCATGTCACCTGCCTTACTCTGCCCCAGTGACACTGATTCCTGATTCAGTAAGCAGCGGGTCATCTCTCTAAGTGCATTTCATTGATGTAAATTAACATTTAACAGCCCAGTGCCCCAACTAGGAGAACGCGTTCATCAACTGTCACTGGTGGTGAGGAGCCAACGGTAATGACACACTTTATCAGACGTTAATGGCAGAACTGTGCAGGTTGATTTTAATATTTTGTATAATGGTAGATTTACCTTTTTTTTTTTTTTTTTATAAATAAGATCAGCTTCTTTGTGCTACAAAACTGACACGTCTTTGTTTTTTGAACCTCTCGTCTTCACATTGTTCAAAGGTACTGGATAAAACTGAACGATTTTTAGTCCCAAATAGTTTTGTTAGAAACACTGCCAAGCTTTGATTAAGTGTTCCAAATTTGACCATTTAGAATATATTTTGGGCTTTTAGAGTTTTCACTCCAGATAAGTTTTGCCTTTTGTAAGAATGCTTGGTTAGAGTAATTTGGTTGAAAGATAATCAGAAAAGCCACAGGAGTGGCATGAGATTGTACATGTGAATTCTCAGTTAAATGGTCTAGGAAAAAAAAAAAGTGTTTCTCTCAGCCAAGTTTCTATTATTTTTATTATTATTCATTGTTTTAGATCATTTATACTATTCATGTTTGTGAGTAACTTAGACTGTTTTAATTGCGTCTTTTTCTACTTGAACCCTAAAGACAGGCTCACTTGTAGCTTATGCTTTGAGCTGCTAGAACAATTTGAGGAATTTTCCCTATTGTTTCACCTTTGTTGTTTGTATTATAACTACTTAGTACTTGTGGTGAATAACTTAACTACTTATACAACTGCTGATTTTCCGTAGGATGTTGGTGACTTAAAGGAGCAGTTGAGCCACATTGTTAGTATTTAATGCTCAGCTTTGTACAGAGGAATGTCAAATTGGCAATCAGCGAAAATCAGCCCAGTTTAAGGCATTGAGCTGGAGGGGTGTATGTGAAAGTCGTGTGTTGGGTAAGCTGGGCTTAGCCTCCAGAAGAATCCAAGGAATTCTAAATGAACCAGCATTTTCCCACTGGGTGCTAATAATTCATATCAGAGTAGTGGAGCTGTGAGGCAGATCATTTTTTTTGGAGGTAATGTTAGTAGATTTCTGTGCTGATGAGCATCCTCTATTTATCAACCGTTTTTGCATTTTATTGGCCTTGGAGCCTGCCTTGAGCATTGGGGTGTTGTCATAGTTGATGGTATTAAATGACAGGATAAGCTGAGTGCTGGGCTCCATGGTGAGTGCTGCCCAGCAGGACAACATGGTTCATCTGAATGAGACCCTTTCTTGCCTTCTTGCCTACACTTCCTGCCCCCAGTCAATTAATTAAAAATATGGGTATAAAAAATATATATATATATGGGTATAGTCTGGGTTTTGATTTTCAAAGACTGGACAGTAGGAATTCCTAAAGGTTTTACCTACTCTCATGCTTTGCTTCTTGTTACCTTGTGTTTTTTTCATTGCCATAAGCAAACTTACTTTATGGCTACCTTAGACATTTAGATATGTTTTAAAGTATCTCATATGCTTCTCTTCCACCCCACTGTCCCTTGTCACGAATGCTCTTCACATTCTCTTTCCCAATTCCACCTGCATTCTCCCCTTGTTAATCTCCTTTCCTGGCCCCTCTTCATGTCAGTCCCACGCTCAAGTAAACCTTTGTATCCTGTACCGTCTCACACCTTCATCGGGTGTACTGTGCTCTCCCTACATATATGTGCATACACATACATGCACTTACTGTGCTGCTTTATTTTAGTGTTGAAAAATGGGATCTTGTAGACATCTTACTCAGCAGCTTAATTTTTTCGCTTATGGCCAGGAGATGTTAATAATTACATGATATTCAGTGGGGGACACACACCACAATTTACTTAATCTTTCCATAGTGAAGGCCATTCCTTCTGTCTTAGACACACAGACACACACACACCACCCTACACAGACCATGTTGCAATAACCACCCTGTTATGTTTATTTGTCCATGATAGTACTTTTATATCTGTTGTATAGTGAACAGACTGTATAGTGTAGTGTAGTATAGCATAGTTTCTCACCTTCAGAACCACAATCCTTTGATTTACAGCAAATAAATACACACTGGTGTCACTTCCCTGCAAGCTAAGCCAGAGCCCTCTTGTGACATAAAAGAGGGAGAGTCCTTTTGTTCTTTGCTACATATATTCTAAAAATATACCGAGGTGACAATGTGGCAGGGTTTGAGCGAGTATTAGAGAATCTGTGATAGTGTCAACCTAACTGTCATCTTTGAAGTATGTTGAAACTTTAACAGTTTATGCATAATTGAGTTCTTCATTTTAGTGACGGAAACTGAGCTGCAACGTAGCTGTAGTCAAATGGCTATTTGGGAAACAGTGTATTCGGTCCACAGATGAAAAGCCGTGAAATGTTAAATGACGCTAACTAGCAGTTTATAAACTGTCTCCTGAATACTCATTTCTTGAGGTAGTTATGTAACTTGCATACACACAGGGCAGTAAAGGTCTGATTGGGTGAAGGCTGGGCCGTATTCATGGATCGGTCTGTAGAAGCCGAGTCCTGCCTTCTCACTAGCCGTGTGTGTGGGAGGCCAGCTTTGAGTCACAAATGGAATCGTCAGCACAGGTTGTTCTATGTGGTCATTTGGAGAGAAGGCTGCAAAGAAACATTTTAATAACACCATCTCACATAAATGTAACTAAATTATAGGTTGCCAGTTCAATTCTCAATAGAAGGCAGAATGAACATTTTAATCAAATTCAGTGTTCTCTACTACCCTCCTAATTTTCCCTAAACTGATTAGTCCTATTTACTGTGGCTCTGTGCAGGTAACCTGGTTGCTAGAGCAGTGGGCTGGAAGGCATACAGCTTTAGAATCCCATGCTGAGATTATCCATGACACATCCAAGTTATTTTGCTCTGTCCGTTGCCTCATAAATATCCTTTCCAGGGATGCTGTAACTATAAAAATATCCTTAAGGTTCCCAGAACAGTTTCCTGAGGGCATATCTAATTACCTATCCCAAAAAATACTCAACAGGGAGGAGGGAAGGCAACAAATTCCATTTAGGCCGAGCATTTTTGTTCATCATGTAAACAACAGTGGGTCAAAATTTGATAGCATATATTTTGCCAAAAATATGAATTGACTATTAACTTAGGTTACAACTTGGGTTGCTAATTTATGTTAGTTCAGAGGGATAGATTTTTTTTTAGGTGCCCAGATAAAAAGTAGCTTGGAAGGAGCTCTTTGGTGTTGGTGATGTCGAAGCTGGAGAAGGAGGGAAGGGAAGAGCTTCAGGTTCTACACTAACTCATCTGTCTTTAAGATTCACGAAAAGATTAAGTCTGCCTGTTGATGTTTATTCTACTCCCTTGAATCTCCACACCTGGATCCAGGATGCTCAGTGGTCAGAATCTTGGAGTGACCTTGACAGGGCCTTTAGGACTTTACTTGGAAAAATATCAAGGAAAGAGTCGCTGCAGTTTTAGCAGAAAGTTTTCTTGCAAAGTAATCTTTCCTTGCTTAGTAAACATTCTTTAGAAATAACCACTGAGTCAGCTGCCTCGTGGCCCCGGTTAATTTTTCTCTCGAATGTGCTGTTGAGCTCATGAAATAGAATATTGAGCCTCTTTCAGTGCAGTCCCCAAATCACATGGCAATGTTTTGGTTGTGCTTTCAAGGCCATGTGAGTCGACCAACCAACCCTGTGATTGGGACCTTCTTTGCCAAGGCACGTGGTTGCTAGTAAATAAAAGAGATGGGATATGAAGTGGGAGAAGTTGTGTTAAGAGGAGCCCAATATCAAGAAAACCATACTTGTTAACCATCTGTAGGGTCAGGAGCTCCTAATTAGGTAGATAGTACCCAAAAGAGAAGCAGCTCCCTTTGGTAACCTCACATAAGTTATTCCTGATGTTTGACCTCTTGTTTCTTTCAGATGCTCCCAGGAGCCTTGGCAGCCATAGTTGGCTTCTTGTTTCTGAACCACCGCCCTTAGAGCTGCACCCCTTTCCCCATTAGGGGTCTTGTCTACAGCATCCTTAGATCCAGGATTTCCTGGGACAGTGCTGACTTCAGACATTCAGGCTTGTTGCCTCTATAAATCACTGAGACATCTTGTTATTTCAGTATTTCTCCACCCAGGCTACATTTCCCAGACTGCTTCTTACAAACAAAAGCATCTCGGCAATCCTTTTGTGATCCAGTTTGGAGTTTAAAAATAGAATCACTCTACGCTGGACTTGTCTCTCAAACCCAGTAACTACCTGTGCTTCACTCTTTAGAGAAACAAACTCCATTTTGGCTGGCTGGAGAAAATATAGCCTCAGGTGTCAGCTGCCTTGGAATTCTTAACTAATTCCCAGGTGATTTCCTGGGATGGGGCAGCTGAGGTGTTCTGGGTGTTTCTCCTGATTGTATGCTGCCAGTGTGCGTGCAGACCTCTTAGAGAAAAGGCTCTGTGTGCTTCCTCCCACCCCACTGAAAGCTATAGTGCAAGGGTCCTACACTGAAAGAAGCTAGGAAGAAAAGCTAGCAGAGAATCACCGTGGCAGCTAGATTGAGGGAAAAAATGCCCAGAGTCCTCTCATAGATAGCTAACATCGACAATTTGAAATACCTTTGAGCTCTACATGGTTTGGCAGTAAAGATTAGTAACTAAAACAGATTCCAGTATTTTTTCTCTTTCTTTTTCATCACCTTAGCACTGACCCTTTATATTTAACAGACTTCGGAGTCTTAGAACTGAACTCTGTAAGAATGTGGAGACTGCAGCTGCGTGGGGTTCACCTCAGAGTAGGTTTGAAGCCATTGGAAATCTAGTTCTGTTTTCCAGACCCTTTTTTAAAATGATTTCTGTACAAATACAATTAATGTACGTAATCTAGAAAAAATAATGCTGTGGGTGTAAATGACTTGATAAAACTGATTTGAAGACAGATGTATGCTATTAAATAATAATGATTTCTTACACAAACAGCCATCAGTGGCCTATGTACACACCACGCCGGGCCTCCCTTCAGGCTGGGAAGAAAGGAAAGATGCTAAGGGACGTACATACTATGTCAATCATAACAATCGAACCACAACATGGACGCGCCCTATCGTGCAGGTATGAAGATCGCTATCCAACCTAAAACCACAGGCAGTAGCAGCCGAAATGTCCACGACCTACCACCGTGTTCCTGATATTTCCATGTTGTTCTGAACAACACGTTTTTTTTTTTGTTTTTGTTTTTTTAATTTTTCACAAGGAAAATGCATTACTTTAAGCATAATATTTGCCTAAGGAAGAACGCAGTCCCCAAATCAGTCTATCCCTGTGTAACCTGAACAAAAAAACCCACTGCAGTCGACTTGATTCCAGCTCATAGCGACCCTATAGGATAGAGTAGAATTGCCCCATAGGGTTTCCAAGACTGTAAATTTTTATGGAAGCTGACTGCCACATCTTTCTTTCGTGGAGCGAGTGATGGGTTCGGAGCGCTGACCTTTTGGTTAGCTGCCGAGCATTTTAACCTCTGCGGTGCCACCAGGGCTCCCTGGGTACGTTTTAAAAATGTGACATGAAAGATATTTTCAAGGTAATAGCCTATTACAAAGCGTAGCTTCTCCCCAGCCCGCTTTTTTCTGAGGCTAGTTTTTATGCTGGGCCAGTGATTCATTTTTATTTCCCTTGAATGTGTTTCCCCGTCCTTTCCACCATTATTATGTTTAATTATTTCCTCCCTGCTTTAAATAGGCCAGACCTCTTATTATTGCTGTTTGTGTTGTTATTTGGATTCGCGCTCCTAGTCACACACACAGGGAGATCCTCATATGAAGCTAACTTGTTTTTGCCTCCAAAATAGCTTGCAGAAGATGGCGCGTCTGGATCAGCTACAAACAGTAACAACCATCTAATCGAGCCTCAGATCCGGCGGCCTCGTAGCCTCAGTTCACCAACAGTAACTTTATCTGCCCCACTGGAGGTGAGAAGGCTTTCTCATCTAACTGGGGTCCCTTCTATCCTGTGCCTTCTCCTCAGCCTCCCTCCTCTCGAATGTGGACTTCCGTTTTGCAGCCACCCTGCTCTCTCTGATCAGTCATGTCCGTGGTGAGAGGTGGTCTGTGTGGCTTCATGACATGCTTCTCTGTCTGCCCATTAACATGCCTGGGCTCTCCTCACCTGATTATCATGCTCATCTGGCTGAGGCCATGGGGACTTGTGCTGGACGTGGGCCCTCTCTTTTCAGGACTTTTATCATTCTATTTCACTCCTTACTGCCTGTGACTTCATTAGAATTGCATAATAACTCTTTCCAATACCAATGCTTACGTTGAGTTTTAAAACATAGCTGTTGCTTTGATCATTTTTTGTTTGTTTTTTTCGACTGGAGGGTGTTCCATTGTATGGGCATACATGTCTTTGATGCAGATTTGTATCTCCAAATCATGGCTGGGCATCTGCTTCTGTGTGTATTGTTTTAGTGCTGTTCCTTAGCATCGTGGGTGTCAGAGTGCTCGAGAAGCCAAAGTGTAAACTTTTGAAGTTCTAAAGTTGGCTGTGGGTAAGAGACAGCTGTGGGTTTCTCCATGCCCTGGGTTTAAGATGCTGAGAAGTGGAAATTGATAATACCTCTTCCAAACTGTGCTATAAATGTGTAAAAGAACTGTGTGATTTCAGGTGGCTGTTTCCATTGATCTAGGTTTTGCTTTTTTGTGCTCTAAAAATTGCCACTGCCTTCTTATTAGACTGTGAGCTCATTAAGAGCAGGGGTGAGTTTTTTTTCCCCACTGTCTGGGATCTCTACATTTGTAATGCTTAATAGGGAAGAGTATATTTTGTGCAGACTGAGTACCTACCAAAAGATGGTGATTGAAAGTATTTAAATTGTGTGTTGAGCCAGTCAAAAAAAAATGTTAAGTTAGGCTGATGTAAAAGTCAACGAATGACAGATTTTTTAGGAGCTTCCCCTTTGTCCATCTCCAAAGAGGAGCGCTCCATGATACCCAGGGACATTGTGACACATCGGAATAGCACATGACAAGAGTTCTAATGCTCATTATTATTCCTTAGGGTGCCAAGGATTCACCCATACGTCGAGCTGTGAAAGATACCCTTTCCAATCCACAGTCCCCCCAGCCATCACCTTACAACTCCCCCAAACCACAACACAAAGTCACACAGAGCTTCTTGCCACCCGGCTGGGAAATGAGGATAGCTCCAAACGGCCGGCCTTTCTTCATTGACCACAACACAAAGACGACAACCTGGGTAAGGCTTCTGCTTTCAACTGGCGCCGTTTCCATCGGGAGCTCTGGCGTCCCTGCCTTTATTCCTTATTCAGCGTTCATCACTCTAGTAGAGAGATTTCACGGACCCTAAAGCGTGTCTCCACAGGATCTCCTCACCCTGACTCTGGATTCTGCACATATGGGCTAGGGGAGTGGGTGATATGTGGGCACACGCTGGTAGCAGTCTCAGGTATTGATGCCACTTGGGCTGCCCTTTCTTCATAGTCACCGTATTTGGGAAAAAGTGGTCCTCCATGTTGCTAGGATTTTTATTTTTTTTAATCTTCTTGAGCTTTATTTAAATAATCATTTTCCACGGTTTTACTTGTTAATTACAGAAGTGTCAATAAGGAGGATGACAAACACTCTGCAGTTCCCTCCACAAGTATCTGTGTCACCTCCTGTGTGAGTGGGCCTTATGCTTTTGTTGTTGTTAAATATAGTTTGCTTGTTTTGTTTATTGTTCTGAAAATACAGATAGCACCACATTTGCCAATCCAACATTTTTCACATACGCAGTTCAGTGAGATCAGTTATATCAATCATGTTGTACAGCCATCTCCAATGTCCTTTGCCAAATTTTAAAGTACCTGCCTCATGTCTCCTGATGTTTGTAATTTTATTAGGAAGTACAATCTTTTTTAAAACAATTTTTTTCTTTGTCAGTTTCTTTTTGCATTTTTATTGTTTCCTGCCTTCATTTGGTTTGTCCCTTGAGTTTATACTGTTCTCATCAGGTTAGTAGTTGACACTCGTCTACCCCATTTTCATTCCTCTTTCTTTGTCACTTGGGAGATATACTAAATGACTGTGCTTTCTCTTTGGTTGTAAATTTGATCACTCTTTTTTGTGAACATTTTGTCAAAATTGATTTTTCATACCCCACTGCTCTTTCATGTGCTCCTGAATCATACATGAGAAAGAACTGCATGTTGCATTAACTAGGGCAAGCAGAGATTGATCAAAGGTGAGTATGCATATCCGTATATTCCTCCATCAGTTCTTCGTTTCTTTAGCTGAATCAGTTTTGATTCTTTTAATGTAACCTGTGATTCTTTTAAAAGTCTCTTGGTATTTTTCAACTTTGTAATCTCTAGTCTTTTCGTTAAACTGAAATTGTTTCTCTTGATGAGTTCTGAAGCTGCAGAAGGTTGATTTTTCTTGCTGCCCATAGTATCTCCATTTAATATTTGCTACAGAGTTTAACTCAGTCCTCCTGTCATCTGTGCTACTTGCTTAGAACCGATGTTCTGGGGAAACTGGTTGGATTTGGTGATGGTCACTGGCCCTAGCTCTTTGGTCTTGGATCAACAGTGAACACGTGCTTAAATTCCCATGTCTCATGATGGATACTTCATATGTCTAGTTGATTGTAATTAAAGCAGTTGATTAGAACAGCAGTGTTGTGTTAAGGCTCAAGCCAAGAATGAGGTGACCTGGACTGTCATTGACACTTTGTCCATGGTCTGATATTAACTGAGTCCCTTGAAAATTGGACTGAATAGCCTAGAGGGCTTTCTCTCTAAAAGCCTATGGATCATGGTACAGTATGTCTCCATGAGAACATTCTTGGCATTTGAGGCAGGAGTATGTCCTCTATTATAGGACATTTAACATCCTTGTCTTGAGATGAATGCCAATAGCCATGGCCCCCCAATCACGTTTTTGTGATTTTGTGGTATCACATTTTTGATACCCAAAAATGCCCCCACTCATTTCCAGATACCCTTAGTGAGAACCATTCTAAAATCTCTTCCTGTTTTGTTCTAAAAGAATCACCTGCCAAGAGAATTTATATCTGGTGACATTCATTTGGTAAATTGATAAGTACGTCTAAGGCATATAATGACGTGTAGGTTTGTTTGACTCACCTTTGAGTCTGAAGACACCATTACAGGTTTGTGGGCAAGACGAGAGGAAGAGAGGGCCAGCAGCTCTTTGAAGAATATCGCAATAGAGATTGACTTTTAAGTGTATTTTTTTCAGTGGCATAGAACTGGACCCTTCTTGCCAGTATACCCATTTCTGTTTACTGCAGCCCTGCTGTAATTGCAGATCCTCAGCCAGAAATCGGAGCTCCAGAAATAGGGGGTAAATATTAAAAAACTAGATGGATTAGTGTATGGAGCCACTGTGGCTTGCCAAAGTAAGCTATGATTTTAGTAATTTGAACTAGCTTAGTAATCAAATCCCCTAACCTTTTCACAGCCTTTCATGCCACAACTGCCATGTAATTGCAGCTGGGCAGGTTTTATTTTAAATCACACTGGCTTTATTTATTGCTTGTAGCGTTGCTGAATGAAACCCAGTTTTAGTTTCCACCTCTTCCTTTTTACCCAGATACTTGGTATTGACTAATTTACTAATTCAGATTTTTAATGTGTTAAAAAAAAATTTTGTTGCTGCTGCTGCTCCCGAAAATCCTTAAGGTAACAACTGGGAATTCCACAAGTGATTACCGTTCTTAACTGAACTCAGATGTGCTGACACAGCTGCCTTATCTCTTCTAAACAAAGGCCTGTAGAAAACGCTTGCTGCGGAAGCTGACTCTGGATTGCCGGTTTATTTTGACAAAGGATAGCGGGGGAGGTTTGAGGGAATTCTAAAGATAATTTTCAGCTTAAAATCTGTTTTGAGTTGGTCTAGGGGTTCACTTTGTTGGCTTTTTGAAAGAGTGAGAAAACAAATGAGAGAAAACAGCACAGCTATTCTTAGATTTGAGCATCATAATAGAGAAAGGAAAAAAACTGGTACGACAGGTTAGGGATAAAGAAAATCATACTCCTTTCCCCCATCAACCTGGGTGCTACTGGTTCTTGCACTAACCAAGAGCATGAAAAGATTCAGGCTAAAACTTTTCCCTGTACACGTTTTTAGAGGAAAACTCACCTTGAAGTATATTGATAAAATATAGCCTTTCACACATGCGAATAATGGAAGCAGTATGCCTGCAGCCTGTTGGAATAAAGTCTGTCAGTGTCAGGTAAGCTTGACTCTGTTCCCACCTGGGCCAGGCCTGCCGTTGAGTGCATGCCAGAGGCCACCAGATGACAGGAGGCATCAGGAGATCTTCAGCTTGCTCGTTCCCCCTGCTCAGGGCACAGCTCAAAGCCCATGTGTAATAGTTTATTCACATCTTTCCCAGAACAAAGCATTGGCTCATTTTTATAGGAAGAAAGATTACATCTTAATTAATTGGTTACACATTTGTGTTCTATCCACGTCCAAACTAATAAAACTCATCATAGCCCAGACATGACTGTTGGTCTCTTCCAGGACAGAGACAATAAAGGAGAAACACAGTTGTTTTTTGAACCAGTCGGTATTCCAGTAGCGTATGTTTTTCAATTATTTTGTTAGGGAACCCTTTTTTTTTATGTTGATCTTTGCATTCTGTTTAAAAACACTTTCAACTGGATTGAGGGAAGCAGTGAATAGTGAAAGCGTGCTCTTACTGTGCTGAGAAAAGGAGGAAAGATCAAGTGTTTTGCATATTTTAATCATTTATATTCCTATCATTTGAGACCTCATTAGTATTCTAGCTTATAATCAGCCCTGAAGTTGTCCATAACTAATATGGGACCGTGGCTGTCACTTCACCTGCTCCATCAGCTGGGGGGCACCTGCCTTCTCACGTTGCTGGGAGGGCTGAATGGGAGGATGAGGTCAGTAATGACCTCGGGCCTGGCCCTCCAAGCTTGATCAATGGCGGCTGCAGCAATTATTTTAATTATTATTGGAAGAATAAAATAATATGACCCCTAAGGGCCTCTGGCTCTCCCATTCTGTAGATTCTGGGTTTCCATGCAAGACCATCTTAGCAGACCTGTGAAATTGGGTTTATTTTATATTTCATGCCGAGTATCCCACCCCTATTCATCCAACATTTGTGTTTAATTTCAGCTTTTTTTTTCCTTTAAATCACCAGTTTTTACCAAAAGGTATGATTAATTGTCTTTCACAGTAGCCTGTGTGTGTGATTCCAAGGCATGGCCGACCTTGCATATAGCATCCAGAAGCCCTTGCCTTCGTTCATATAATAGCATCCCAGGCTTTCTCTAAACCTGGGCATAGTCAGTGGCCGTGTGGCTCCAAGGCTGCACTGCTGGTTGTGGTATTGCCTGATCACAGCTCAGAGTTAGCACTGAGTGAGAAGCTTTTGTGCAGTTGAGTGCTTTAAGTTTTTCCTCTGTCCACGCTTAACCCATCTCAAATGTTTATCAGATTATCAGTTTCATGGTCCTTCTAAATTTGCTTAACATAGCCATGTACACCGTACGTGTTCCAGTTACAGTGTGTGTGTCCGCCTTCGTAATAGTGGACCCATTTTATGCCTCTGCTTATCCTTTAAGAAATATGTTGGTAAGTTTCAGTGTCAATGCCTATCATAAACTGCTAGAGTGATTTACTTCTTCAATTAAGTCTTCAGTGTCGCTAACAGAAAGCAAAGGTGATTTTATTTTTTGTGACCGTTTTTGATTCTTACCAGTTGCAAAAATCTATGACTTTATTATGACCAGTGATACTAATGATTTATACTGTTAACTTGGGAAAATGTTGAAGTAGAAAACCTTTTGGTAATTTGACAGCCTCAAAGATTTTAGTATAACTGATGGAAGCTAATCAAATGTATTGTGGTGTAATGATTTTTTTTTTAATTTTAGGACTGTTTGGTTGACAGTGTGTTATTCTGAGTTTTGTTGTTTGTTTCCTAACCTTTTGAGTTTAAAGATACGGATTTTCCAAGTTATATCGCATTTTAATTGGGCCTGGATAAGTGAGAGGCAGCTCTTGGATTCTGATTCAGAGCCTTTGGACAAGTCCTTGTTCCCTCTGAAACTGCTTCCTTATCCAAAGAAACAGAAATCCAGTGCCCAGCCTCCTGAGAGGATTGTTGCCAGATCCTATGTCTGTGTAAATGATGAAGCAGCCCTGCTCTCAGAGTACATGTTTCTCTTTTGTTGATTCTCTGTGGTCTCTTAAGAAATGCATTCCTTTAAGAAAAATCTTCTCCCAAAGTTAACCCTTCAGCCAAAGATTAGACAGGTCTATAAAACCAACAGTAACACACGTGAGGAATGTTCAGTCATGCATGCGAAACCAGAAGGGCAGCACATGCCCAAAAGCAAGGACGAGAAGGCAGGAAGTGACAGGAAAAATGGACAGATGGAAACAGAGAATTGGGGTGTGGAAGCGGGGGAGAATGTTGATGCATCGCAGGGATTGCAACTAATGTCATAAAACAATTTGTGTATAGATTGTTGAATGAGAAGCTAATTTGCTCTGTAAAGTTTCACCTAAATCACAATAAAAAAAGAACTTAAAAACTTTTTTAAAAAAGAAAAATCTTTTGCAAACTCCTAAGTGTGACATAAATGAGAATCTAACCTGCAGAGCTTGATTGAGAATCTTGATAAAGTTCTCTAGCAGGGTATGTGACTTCATATGAAGAAGCAGACTGGAATAGCCACATGTCTTAAATTCAGAGCAGTTTCAGATTCTCTGTCTAGTGCAGGAGAGTGTGGAAAAGAGCAACAGGGACATGCAGAGCCCATCGGTGGCTGTTCCTAATGTGTTAGGTCAGCTACGGTCACCAGGAGCTCAGAACATGTAGGGAGGTTCCAGATCATTGTCCCGCCTCCCTGTGTGTGGAGTAGAGCCCCACCTTTCCTGGCCCGCTCCATCCAGATTTCCATAGTAACATCACTGCCAGGACCCTCTTCCCCTTCACTGCCCAAGATATCGGGGAAATGGTTAACTTTTTATTGATATATTCTTACTCTCCACCTTTCCCCAAGGACAGAAGGAGGAGTAGAATCTTTGTTGAGGAGGTAGTCAGCCAGGCTTCCTGTCCAGAGCAGAAATATGGGTTTTCCCCTTCCCCACATAGGCAGGCATGCACCTCCATGCACAGGGACCTCGTTGCCTTGGAACTCACAGCTCCAGAAGGGAAGGAGCCAGTAACTGCCACAGATATTCCCTCTTAACATCTGCCTTTTGCATTTTTGTTTTAGGAAGATCCACGCCTGAAATTTCCAGTACATATGCGGTCAAAGGCATCTTTAAATCCCAATGACCTCGGCCCGCTTCCTGTGAGTACATTGGAGGTACACAGAACCTCCACCAAGTGTTGATGGAGTAGACCTGTGGGCCTTCTCTTTCTCCAGGCTTCTAGGGTCCCATTGGCCTGTATTTCTTAATAGAATTGGGCTTTTGGCTGAACTTTAATAATACACACCGTTCATGCAACATCCAGTACTTGTGAAAGATGTTTCAGAATTGCCAGCTGCTTCCAAAAGGTAGACCTTGTAATAGCATGTACGAGGGACTTTCTCTACAGTTGGCAATTTAAGCAGCAAGCATTTATTTTGAAGCTTAGCATCACCAAGTTCTGTCCACATTGCTGATTTAGTCGTAGGAACAAAAAATAAAACAGTGGGAGAAAAAGGCATAAGTAATCACAGAAGGTTTCTGTAAGTCATTTAGCCTGCAGGTATTTTAAGAGTTTTTCCTCCCTTGCTGATGACTGTTTATAAACCTAATTTTTTAATGTATATGTATATCAGTTTGTTCTCTTTTGAGGCCTGAGCAGGAGTTGAGCTATTTACTCTAAATTTAATTTTGAATGAAGTCTTCACCATGCCTCCACCTCAACCCATCCCCAGTTAAAAATAAAGCCTTTCTGGGCTCTAAGGCTATTTTTAAATGGAAGGATGCTGGAGATGTTTTGGTTGTTGCTTTTGTTGTTCTGCAAGTATAGGTGAGCTTACAGAATCTTTCTGGTGCTAGTACATGATATATCAGTGACAAAATTGGAGGCTAGAAAGGTTACAATTCGAGATTTAGTCATCGAGTTCTACCAGTAGCCTCCTCTAAATCTGTATGATGTGTCCTGGGCTCAGATGGAGAGAGTCCAGTGATTTTATAACGTAAAAATCTGTTATCTGAATCTATTGGATTCCTGGGTTTAGATAGGAAATAGGGGTAGTTCAGATAATGAGGGCATACCAGCCTTACCTTGAAAAAATTATCCAAGTCTGTTTAGTTCCTGAGTTTGAAAAGTGAGAGTTCAGAGCAGGGAATACCAGTATTAGATTGGACAACCACCTGACAACAACTTGCAGAAAGTAACTACGTAACAGTTCTGTGTTAACTCCCCTTTCCCCTCCCTTTAGTACTCAATACTTATTTAGTTAAATGAGCTATTCAACCCCAAACTCAACTGTTTCATGGTATGCTGAAGCTGCCCTTTGAAGCTTTTGAAACAGCAACCTCTTTCCTGCTTTTCATATAATGAATGTCTCAAATGCATCTGAAACTGTTAAACATCTAATAGAGTGTTGCTAGATGTTGTCATGAGTTTATTTGAAGTGTTTGTGTGTAGTTTATTCTGAATGCAAAAACTGTACCTAGGAGAGAAGAGTAAGAAAGTATCCTAGAGTTTTTAAATTTTGCCTTTGATTTTGGAACTCCCAGCTGACATTTTATTCATTCTCTCTCTCCACTCCTCTCTCTCTCCCCCCACCCTTCCACCCACTTTCTCTCTCTTTCTACCCCTTTCTACTCCCCTCTCTCTAACCCCCCTCTACCTCCCTCTCCATCTCTCTTACTCTCTCTTCACCACCACCCCCTTTCTCTCTCTCTCTACCCTTCTCTCTCCATCATCTCCCCAATACTAGCCTGGTTGGGAAGAAAGAATTCACTTGGATGGCCGAACATTTTATATTGATCACAGTAAGTAGGCACTGTTATAGACACACAGGTATTGCAGGTAAAGGGGGTGGAGGGTAATTCAGATGTTATGATGAAAGCATTGTAACTTTACTCTTTGTTTAGGCAGCCAGGTGTTATGTGGAGAGAATGATACCAGGGAATCAGTGCCCTCGTACGGTACTGTGCATTCACCCAGTTTGCTTTAAATGAGCTCACCAAGTTTTCACCCAACCTTATGACCCATTAACTTTTTTTTTAATTAAAAAAAATCTTGGTTGATGATCCCTTGACTTTTGCGCTTTTAATGAATACACTGTGGAAATAGAAAATAAGATTAGAAGTGATGATTTAGTCACAAATCAATGTGTGAGCAGTGCTTGAAGCAACATATGTTTTTAAATTTACTGCTTTAAAAGGTCATGTGGCAAAATGCCCATTCTGACCTTATTTTCTATTCATAGCATGTTTCCTTGCACCCAATACACTAATATATACGTAGTTTTTTTCTTGACATTATACTAGTATTTTTGCTGTAGACATTTGCTCCAGCACCTACGAATAAGTGTGTGGTTTCTCATTTCAACTAAAAGTTAAACTAATAAAGATTTGCTTTTAGCCAGTGGGTTTTTTTTTCCTTCTACTTTTTTGAGGCGACATGTCCTTCATGGGATCATATTTGTCTACCTCTTAAAATTTCTGAAAAAGTATATTAAGAAAAGAGGGCTTCAAGCAGATTTGAAGTACAAACGATGCATGCAATTTGGTAGCAGTTTGGTTTGTGTTTCCATTTGGTTCGTAAGCAGGACATCTGTGCCAGGTTTCCAAAGCCTCACGTTTTCTTACTAAACAAAAGCACGTTGGTGAGCTGACCTCTGAGAAGTCTGGCTGCAAGGCATCCGCACGTGGGTGGGCTTGTCGCGATCCCATAGCCTGGCTGCCGCTTCCAGATGTTATGGGGGCTGAGTGCATCATAGTCAGACCTTCACATCTGGCATAGGAGTATGAGGGTTGTTAAGAATTAAATTAAGTGAAAGGCCCAGAAGTTCAGAATTAAAACAAAAATGGAAATCCTAGGTATATTTAGTGGGAGGGCTACCCTTTGGTTTAAATCAACCATTTCAAGTGACATAGGCTTAGTTTTTGTCTTTGATCAGTAAAAAATACTGATTTACCTACTTTCCAGAATTTTACAGTGAGCATAAAGTTGCTATAATGGAACATGCTTTAAAATCTATGTGCTTACCTCACTTTTTCCTTTAATGTAATAGTTATTTATAATTCTACTCTTAACAGAATTTGTTAAAATGGGAGACAGGCCGTACTCCTTTGCCTGTTTTAAAAAGAAAAAAAAGTTTCCCTTTCAGGTTTTTTCGATTTTGGCTTTGATTTTTTTCATTTCAATTTCCATTTTTAAAGATAGGTATGAATACTGATTATTTTAAGAAAATAATATTGATTAGTTTCTTAAAACCAGGTCTTAAACAATAATACAACCTACACAGCCTTGGCCTGCCACACACACGGAACATTTTTCTGGTTGGTGATCTGGCATATAAGCCACCTTAAAAGAACTTTATAAATATTCTTAATGCACTGCAATGAGCAAAAAACAAGAAAAACACTATTGCACAGGGCCAGGGCCAGTTGTACATTGGATATAATAAACATCATAGACTGTTTCCCTTGTGGCACGCATAAGTCTAGTGTGATATATAGTAGGTACTTGATGAAAGATCCCCGGTGAAGCAGTGGTTAAGCACTTGGCTGCTAACCAAAAGGTAGGCAGTTCGAACCCACCAGCCACTCTGCGGGAGAAAGATGTGGCAGTTTGCTTCCGTAAAGATTTACAGCCTTGGAAACCCTATGGGGCAGTGCTCCTCCATCCAGTAGGGTCGCTGTGAATCAGAACTGACTCGACAGCAATGGGTTTTAGGTGCTTGATAAATGGCAACTTGAAGTCAGGTTCGTGGAGGGTCACTGGTGAGGGTCTCAGGAAGTTGATGTCCCTGATCAGAAAGTAGAGAGAACATGTCTGAGAAGCAGCAGCAGTGCCTGCAACCCTAGGCTTGCCCATCTCCTGACTCCTGATCAGCCCACCCACCACTTCCAGTCCTCATCTCAGACGTTCCCCATTGCTCTTGCCCAGAGCAGTACTGGAAAAGCTCCTCTTAGCTGTGGGAATTGAATGATGTGGTGTAGACCACAGACCGAGCCTGGTTGATCTGAGCTATAAAAACCAGTTGCCAGCGAGTCAGTTTTGACTCATAGTGACCCATGTGTGTCAGAGTAGAACTGCACTCCACATGGCTGATTTTTCAGAAGTAGATCACCAGGCCTTTCTTCCGAGGCTCCTCTGGGTGGACTCTAGCTGCCAACTTTTCAGTTAGCACCCAAGCGCATTAACCGTCTGCATCACGCAGGGACTCTTATCTGAGCTATACCAATGTGATATGTGTGATCATTTACATGGAGATTGAAATTTACCTTAGCACAACCATACAGAAAGGTTCTCTTAACCAGGTATAGTGTAAAGTAGATGATCCAAAACTACGTGAGAAAAAGATGTTTATGAAAATCTTGTGTTAATGCAACATTTCCATGGGTTCTCCATAATTTGTCAAGGTTTACTCAGTAGAAAGTGATAAAATGGATACACATCAACGAGACATAGTTTAATTCATTTGCCTCTCTGCCAAAATCCAGTCTGTGAAATGTGCAGAATACCAACCTTCCAAAATGGGTTAAATAATTACCTGGTAGATAATGTTTAAGAATTTCCTTACCTTCTTAATGGAACCTCTCTTTCTAAATCACTCACCGACATCCATTTTCTGGCAAGATTCCTCATCTCATTTTGCTGTGCTGCAACCTTCAGGGCAGAGACCAGGCCATCCCTACCTGTGCCATTTTATATGGAGAGCAGTCATCTTGGAGTTACCCAGAGTCATCCTCTCTTACAGCGTAGCAGGGACGTGTGTTTACACAGAATGATGGCGACAACACTGCAGTTGTCTTAATTAAATAATTGTTAGCTGCTGTCAAGTCAGCTTATGACTCATGGCTGCCCATGTGTCACAGAATAGAATTTCCCCATAAGGTTTTCTTGGCTGTAATCTTTACAGAAGCAATTCACCAGGCTTACTTCCTCGGAGCTTCTGGGTAGGTTCAAACCACCAATCTTTAGGTTAGCAGCCGATCGCAAACTGCTAGCACCACCCAGGCTCTTAGGTTATTTTATTATTTTCTGCTTTATAAATTCTTCAGAAGTTAGACATTTTCAAGATTAAAAATGTTCAACCATCCTAAAAATTCGATCTTGGAAGGGATGAAGGGTCAATGTTAATCCCCTCTTTGCACTCTCTGATTCATTTGGTTGGCACTTTCAGAGTAGCTTCTACATCTCTGATTTGGTGTAAAATGTTAGGGAAAGATCATGAAGTGAATTCATTTTAAAGACCATGTATGGCCAGTGACTGAGTACTTGGCCACAGGTATCTTGTATACAAGTTAGAGGAGAAAATAAACTTCCACTGCTGCTGTACAATCCCGTTTTCATCTTTTCTGCCAACAGTCTTACTTTACCAAACCTGTTAAGAGTAGCTAAATTGAGGTTGTTATTCTTCTCCATCCTTCTTGTCCCTTTATTTGAAATATAATGTCTCAAAGACTAAAAGCAAGTTTAGATTCAAAAGTTCTAGAAAAAAATGGATAACATACATTCATGTATTGATAATACTTAGCTGCAAAATTGGTCTGTATTGTAATCACAGAAGTGTGTGATTTTGAAAGCTCAGTTTGTTTGAAAGGAACTTTGCTTTCACCACCAGCGTTATTCAATTTTTAAAAGAAAACAACAACAAAAAATATTAAGCTCCTGTTATATACTGAAACCGAAAACCCATTGCCATCGAGCTGATTCCAACTCATAGCAACCCTATAGGACAGAGTAGAACTGCCCAACAGGGTTTCCGAGGAGCAGCTGGTGAATTCAAACTGCCAGCCCTTTGGTTAGCAGCCAGGCTTTTAACCACTGCACCACCAGGGCTCTGTTATATACTGGGAAATATGTTCAGTGGTGGAGAAGGGGCTGCTGAGTGAATAATACACAGTCCCTGCTCTGGAAGAGCTTGCATTCTAGTAGGGAGTACCAGTAGGCATTTTAAGTGTTGTAATAGAGGAGGGAGGTGAACCAGTTGTTGTATAGAAGCAGAAAGGCAGTGACTGTGCCTCCTTGGGAAATAGTTGGGCCCCAGGGGTGGAAGGGAGGCTGCAAGAGCCTTACAGAGTGAGTTACTTTTCAGATAGAGGTTAGCCAGTGAAGAGCGATTCTAGTTGGGGGAAGCATGTGCAGGTGTATGAATATGTGCAGATTATACCATGTTCAGAGAAGTGCAGTGTTGTCATGAGACAAAGGGTTGGCGTGCCTGCCCCAGTGGGGAAGGCAGCAGAGGAAACTGGCATGGCATACAGGTCAAATCGTAGAGTGTCTGCCAGGTCTGGGAACTCTGATGCCTTCTGAAAGCAGTAGGGAGCCACTGAGGGATTTTCCAGAGGGGAGGGGCAATGGCCACAGTGTTCTTTAGAAAGATCCTTTTGGCAAAGCTGTAGAGGAGATTTGTGAACAGGGGTGAGTGAGACTGTAGGCAGAGAAGCTTGGAGAATAGTTGAGGAAAACGATGAGTGCTTGGAAAGAAGCCTTATCAGAGAGGGAGCGGGGGACAGTTGGGAAGCCACCAGAAGTGGTGAGGGAGGGTCAAGGATGCTGGCTGGGTTCCTGACATGGACAGTGAGTGGGTTGTGATACTGTTCTTCAATACAGGATTACACGAGCAATTTCTAGTATTGGATAGTTATGGGTTCAGCTTTGGCAGAGTTGGGTTTGAAGTGCCTGAGGGAAATCCAGATATACGTAGACAAGGGTTGGGTCTGGTTCAGGTCTGGTCTGAAGATTTGGGAGTCAGTATACGTCGTTAGTAGTTAATTTTTTTTTTCTTCTGTTTTGATGATGTGATCCAGTCAAAAATGGTTATAGGCCAAGTTGGTACATTAAGGCACAGTTTTTGGTCAGCTGTATTCTGTTTCCTTTATTAAGTTTTATTTTCTCTCATTTTCCATCAAAATAGCAACTTTTACTTTCCAAAATCTTCTGTTTACAAGGTAAGGGACCCTAAAAATGCCTTTTGTCTTGCATCAAGGCTCTCTAAAACAGTTGAGACATTTCACATAAATTTTCTGCTGCCATGAAAACAAAGTAAGGATTCTAGAACCGTCTGGTGCTTTGGTAGCCTTTTTTTTTTTAACTTTACCCCTGCTTTAATTAAAATAATAATACCACCAAACATGTTGAAATTCCTGGTATGTTTATTGAAACCAAATTCTTTGGTTATTCTTATCAGCCCACTTACAAGGGTATACAGGGACTAAGCAGAATCAATATTCTTTACTTTTCAAGCAAATAATTTCTTGCCAGGTCAGAGGCTGAGTATTTTCTTGCACGTCTGCCCTTATATGTAAGTCACATGCCTCTCAGTGCAATGCAAAGTTAGGTTCAGCATCCTTTTTTTTTTTTTTAAAATAAAATTTCCTTTTCATTTATTTATTTCATTTTTACCAGCTTTGATTTCCTACAACTCCAGAGAGAATCTGTTCTTCCCCAGTGTGCCCTCCTTATTTCTCTCCTGTGGGCCCACTCTCTATCCTCCCCTCCCTTCCCCCCCCTCCCCCCACACACAGAGGAATCCGTAAAGCCTTTTTAATTATGCACAGTCACAAACCCCAGGTGAGCCAGGGCAGTTATTGTTACCACCTACGCTAAGGTGGTATAAGTAGTATTAACGATCTTGTTGACATCGACTCATGTGGGAGGAAGGAAACCATCTCTAGCCAACTTGGCCAAAAAGGAAACCTTTCTCTGGAATTTTCCTCTGCTGTAGTCAAATTCTCTCTCTTTTTTTTTTTTTTTTTGGACTGCCTTAATTGCTTTCATTTTGGTGGGCATATGAGTGACGCATGTAATGGATTATTCATTTGTTGAATGTAGGATTCTTAATTGAAAAAAAAGTTTTTCAACTCCAGAAGCAAAGAAAAAAGCATTTGAGATAAGAAAAGATCATGTGTGTGTGTTTGTGAACCATTTAGGGGCTAAGGCTTTTTATGTCTTTTTTTTTTTTTTCCCCCAATTAAATGAAAAGCAAGATCAAGTTATAAATCCTTGAGAGAACAGGGGTTTATAATTGAAATATCGGCAGACAGCCTGCCAGAAACAGTGTCAATAGATGGTTTTACTTTAGTTGTGCATTTTGGAGTATTTTTAACTAAGCAGTATGCAGAGGGTTTGCCACATAGAGTGCCCATTTATCTTCTGACCCTGAAATCTGAAGTATTTATCTTTGGGGGACATAGTGGGACCTGGATAGCTTTTGAAGAATCCATAAATATTTTTGAAGTACATAGAAAAGATTTGAACTAATGTGCTGATTTTTTTAAATTATTATTATTAATTTTCAGATAGCAAAATTACTCAGTGGGAAGATCCAAGGCTGCAGAATCCAGCTATTACTGGTCCGGTCAGTATTCTCAAATTCTTACTGTTCATTATAATACTTTGGTTGTTTCTAGGCATGCACTTCTTGTACATTACCACTTATCACGGTGCCACGGGACTGATGTTATTGAGTAGTTTCATATTACTCCCATCTCCTCCTTCCCAGAGTTTCCAGATGAGGTACAGCTGCATATACCTTTTCACAGAGCTCTCATTTAAAAAGAAAAAGAGAATGGTTTGCTAATGGTAGCAGAACCAAGCATTTTCTTTTCTTTTTTATAAGGTGTGGGTTAAAAGTATATTTAAAATTCCCTCCTTTCCTTTTGGTATGAAGCAAAGTCAAGTCCTACATGTATAAAGTTGTGTCATTTCTTTAGGCCAAGGTATAAATGCATGCTAGCAAATTTAAACTGTACTCTGACTCTCTTGCAGCTCTCAGATATATAAAAGTTTGGGTAAGGTGATAGGTAGCCTCTGGAGCTGCAGAGTTATGAATCTTTAACTGTGTTTCCCACTAACTTTCTCATAGTCCTCATATTTACCAGGCTAGGTGGAAAAAGAATTAGTTCTGCCTTAGGTAGAACTGGTAACTAGTTGCCATTGAGTAGAACTGTGCTCCATAGGGTTTTCAATGACTGGTTTTTTGGAAGTAGATCACTGGGTCTTTCAGAGAGCCTCTGGGTGGACTTGAACTTCCAAACTTAGGGTTAGCGGCCGAGTGCATTAACCGTTTGCAGTACCCAGGGACTCCTGCCTTAGGTATGTTGTTGGTGTTGTGTGTCTTCAAGTCAGTTCTGACTCATAGCCACCCTATTTGACAGAGTAGAACTGCCCCATAGGGTTTCCTAGGCTGTAATCTTTACAGAAGCAGATTGCCAGGTCTTTTCTCCTGTGGAGCGGCTGGTAGGTTCAAACTGCTGACCTTTCAGTTTGCAGCCGAGCACTTAACCACTGTGCCACCAGGGCTCCTGCCTTAAGTATTTAAAAAAAAACAACCCCATTGCTGTCGAGTCAATTCCAACTCATAGCGACCCTATAGGACAGAGTAGAACTGCCCCATAAGGTTTCCAAGGAGTGCCTGGTGGATTCGAACTGCAGTCCTTTTGGTTAGCAGCTGTAGCTCTTAACCACTACACCACCAGGGTTTCCACCTTAGGTATTGTGACCTCTTAAAATATTGCTTCACACTGTGTTCATAAAAGGGAGTGAACAGTAGCAGACACTCGGTGTAGAAGACCTGCCGATGAATCTTTAGAACAGGCCACACGCATCACAGGGAATGTACCATTGCCTTTGTCAGTGGTTATCCAAGTGCAAAGATATAATTGGGAATTATGGAAATGTACTGGGGTCAGCAGAAGAGTGCAAATTTGGGGATTCTTTTATAAGAGTGGAGGAGCAAAAGGAAGTAAAGTTCGTTATATAAGGGCTGTGCTAAGAGGCCAGTAAGTATATTTAAAATATTAATTTAGTGGCTTGAATCTGACTCAGTACGAGCCGTGTTTTGAATTATAAAGCTCTGTCCATTTGTAAGAAGATATTACAGTGCAAACACACCTTGACCTCTGACATCCCTTTAGTGATTTGTTGGGTTTGTTCAACTACTTCAATCCTGTTTCCTGTGCAAAGCACCCAATCCCTAAGTTCATACAGCCAGCCAACTACTGTTTCTCTACGTCGCCTAAGAAACACCTGCCTTACTAGCATGGCTCCCTTTTGATACATTCGCACTCTCAACTGGTGGTTAGAATAGTACTTCTCCTTCTTCTACGTCATTAGAAACAAAGTAAATAGAAAACACAAGGCTGTCAGAAAGTTTCCAGGTAACAGAAGACTTTAGCGTGTTAATTCTGACGCCTTGTCAAATATTTGTCATTTTCTTGATCATCTCTATTCACTCAGATATTGGTAGTCCTTATTAGTTATTTGTTTTAATTGTTTAGCATCATAAATCTAGGTAGATTTACCCCCAAGAAAAATCTATTTCTTTCTGTTTTCTATTAATAAAAGAGCCTTGATCACTCTGTTATTATGATGATGTTGCTTTTAGTAGGAGTGTGTATATTTAGTTAACTATCAACTTGGTGTAGACATCCGGCTTTTGTTGTCATTCAATTCTAAATATTTGGTAACTTCCATGATAATCTCTCCTTGATTTAAAGTAGTTAGAATGTGCTTATTAGTTTCTAAGGATATGGGCAGGTTTTTTGTTTGTTGGTTGGTTTTTGCCTTTTTTATTGATTTTTAATTTTATTACATTATAGTCAGAAAATATTGCTTATGGAATATTGATTATTGGGTATGTAAGAATTCCTTGCCTGCTTGGTCATTTTTTGTAAATGTTCTTTTTGTGTTTGAAAAAAATGTGTATTCTATCTTTGTTGGGTCCAAAGTTCTTTGTGTGTCTATTAGATCAAGCCTGTGATATTTAATTCACCCTTGTTCTTATTACTTCTTTTCTGGCTCTTTGATCTAACCAAGAGAGTTGTATTGAAATCTTCCATGATGATTGTAGGTTTGTCAGTTTTGTCTAAGATTTACACCATTACAGTTGCTTTCTTTTTGTTAGAATTTGCCTAGTATATCTTTTCTATCTCTTAACTTCAAATATTTTTTCTTGTTGGTGGGAATGTAAAATGGTACAACCACTTTGGAAATCGATTTGGCACTTCCTTAAAAAGCTAGAAATAGAAGTACCATACGATCCAGCAATCCCACTCCTTGAGATATATCCTAGAGAAATAAGAGCCATTACACAAATAGATATATGCACACCCATGTTCATTGCAGCACTGTTAACAATAGCAAAAAGATGGAAACAACCTAGATGCCCATCAACAGATGAATGGATAAACAAATTATGGTATATTCACACAATGGAATACTACACAATGATGAAGAATAACGATGAATCCATGAAACATCTCATAACATGGATGAATCTGGAAGGCATTATGCAGTGTGAAATTAGTCGCAAAAGGACAAATATTGTATAAGACCACTATCATAACAACTCAAGAAAAGGTTTAAACACAGAAGAAAACATTCTTTGATGCTTACGCAGGTGGGGAGGGAGAGGGGGTATTCACTAACTAGATAGTAGACAAGAATTATCTTAGGTGAGGGGAAGGACAACACTTGCTACAGGGGAAGTCAGCACAGCTGGACTAAACCAAAAGCTAAGAAGTTTCCTGAATACAACCTAACACTTCAAGGGACAGAGTAGCAGGGGTGGGGTTCTGGGGACCGTGGTTTCAGGGGACATCTATGTCAATGGGCATAACAAAGTTTATTAAGAAAATGTTCTGCATCCCACTTTGGTGAGTGGCATCTGGGGTCTTAAAAGCTAGCAAGCGACCATCTAAGATACATCACATCAATTGGTCCCAACCCGCCTGGAGCAAAGGAGAATGAAGAACACCAAAGACACAAGGAAGATATTGGCCCAAGAGACAAAAGGCCCACATAAACCAGAGACTTCATTAGCCTGAGACCAGAAGAACTAGATGGTGCCCAGCTACCACCAATGACCACCCTGACAGAGAATACAACAGAGAGTCCCTGACGGAGCAGGAGAAAAGTGGGGTGTGGTACTCAAATTCTAGTAAAAACACCAGACTTAATGGTCTGACTAAGACTGGAGGGACCCCGGAAGACGTGGCCCCTGGATTCTCTGTTAGCCCAAAACCAAACCATTCCCGAAGCCAACTCTTCAGACAAAGATTAAACTGAACTATAAGACGTAAAATGATACTCGTGAAGAGTCTGCTTCTTAGCTCAAGTAGATACAGGAGTCTAAATGGGCAGCTCCTGTCCAGAGGCGAGATGAGAAGGCAGAAAGGGACAGGAGCTGGTTGAATGGACACGGGAAATCTGGCGTGGAAAGGAGGGGTGTGCTGTCACAGGATGGGGAGTGCAACTAGGGTCACATAGCAATGTGTATAAAGTTTTGTATGAAAAAACTAAAAAAAAAATTTTTTCTCCTTTCTTGCCTTGTATTAGATTGATACGGGTTCACTATGAGTTAGAATTGACTCAATGGCAGTGAGCTTAGATTGATAGAGTCTACTCTTTTATTTTCTCTGCTTGCTTATTGTGTCTACTTGGAAGTTGTACTTTCTATTTCTATTCTTTTAGTGCTCACATTATAATTTTTAACCAACATACTTGACTTAAAATTAATCATTCTACTCTCCTCTTGGATAATGTAAGGACCTCAGGCAACTTTATGCCTTTCTTCCTGCTCCCATTTTCTGTGTCAGTGTTGGGTGGAATTTTGAAACTATTGTATCTTTAAATTTGCCAAATGCTCATTAATACTTTATCCTTCAGCAGCCAATGCTTATTTAATTTTAACCAGTTGCTGTCGAGTTGACTTCAACTCATGGCGACCCCATGTGTGTCAGAGTAGAACTGTGCTCTTTAGCGTTCTCAGGGCTGATTTTTCTAAAGTAAATCTCCAGGCCTTTCTTCCAGGGCACCTTTAGATGGTCTCGAACCTCCAACATTTTGGTTGGCAGCCCCTTGTGTTAATCATTTGCACTAAAGGGAATACTGCGAGATTTAAAATCAGGAAAGGTCTGTGTCAGGGTTGTGTCCTTTCACCGTACTTATTCAGCCTGTATGCTGAACAAATGATCCAAGAAGCTAAACCGTATGAAGAAGACCGAGGCATCAGGATTGGAGGAAGACTCATTAACAACCTGTGATATACAGATGACACAACCTTGCTTGCTGAAAGTGAAGAGTACTTGAAGCACTTACTGATGAAGATCAAAGACAACAGTCTTCAGTATGGATTACACCTCAACGTAAACAACACAAAAATCCTCACAACTGGAACTATAAGCAACATCATGATAAATGGAGAAAAGATTGAAGTTGTCAAGAATTTCATTTTACTTGGATCCACAATCAACGCTCATGGAAGCAGCAGTCAGGAAATCAAATGATGTACTGCATTAGGCTAATCTGCTGCAAAAGACCTCTTTAAAGTGTTCAAAAGCAAAGATATCACTTTGA